GGCTTTGATGAACGCATTTCTCTGAGCGCAGAAGAAGGGTCCGGGTGGATACATAAAGCTGCAAGTTAATGTCCCGACAAAAAGCATGCAAAATGTAATATTTAAATAGTAATTGTTTTAGAAATATAGTGTGTGTTTTTATTGTTAACTAAACCTAAAACTATTAAAAATCGTTTTCGGTAATTAAAAATACTAAAAATAAAATATAAAAGTTAGATAACACTTTTGTTGGCTTGTCAGCCAACTAAAATAAGATTTAGTTAAATATTAAAAGTACTAAAACATAACTTAAATCCGAATAGAAATATAAAAACGTACAAACAAAAGCACAAAATTACTACAGCTAAAATTAAGAGGAAAACTGAAAATATACAAATACAAGCTAATTCAAAATGTTGATGAATACTATAATATATAAACATAAATATTAGATAAAATCTTAATAGGTCAATCAGAAATGTTGCCTTTGCAGCTAATTGCAATAAGTTTAAGTTGAAATATTAAAACGACTAAAGAAATAAAAAAAGCAAATAAAAATTACAAAAGCACATACAATTTTTAAAACCTAAACTAAAATGTATTAATAAATTATTTAATAGTATATAAATAATACTAAAATAACAATGTACATTTTATAAGCCAGAAATTAAATCTTTGCATTTTCTTTATTTAAATGCACTCATTTGCACTGTAAATAAAAAAAACACATACACATTTTCTGTAGGTACAATATTTATTAAACGTTTTTTATTAATTGCAATATTTTTTGCATACAAATAAAAGTGGCTTTAGAGAAATATTGCAAAAGACCCTTAAAATACAACATTAAGACATTGTAACATGTAATTGGGTGTTACGCCTCAAGCCCACCGGTAAACATACAGTAATACATAGAAATAAAACATCCTGAGTCTCACAGTAACACGACTGGTTATGTCAAGCTTTGCTTCACGTTTTACCACACACACACATATCAATGGCGTATTGAATTTATAGATCACTAATTGACTTGTCTCACACCTGTACAGACTTCAATACAGTACTATATTTTAAAGCCGAGTTAGTTCGCACGTTCTACAGTCATATTCAGTAACAGTGACACTGAACCGCATGTTCAGTTATGTAGTTCTACTAATTATACAATTAACCATATCTAAAAACATGCTCAAGATGATGTGCATTTAATTTTCATACAGTGTGCATTTGTTATTATGCTGGTGAGCATGTTTTGAAAAGGGGGTTCTGATATAAAAGCAGCAGGAAGCACATTTCACATGCAACAAGTATATAAAATAACATAGCAGCGAGTAACATCAAATACTGTCCTGTCACTAAAATAGTTACCGTAGTAACATGACAGTATGAGAACCAAAGCTATTAGCACAGTCACAGTACACATGTAAAAAACAACAACAACAACAACAAGACTGGCCATGCAATAAAAATAAAACAGTCAATTTCTTTGTTTAGACAGCCTTGAGTGGTGATAGTCCTTTTGTTAAAGCACTCTGTAAAGAACAAAAAAGAATTAAATAAATCATTTTCAGCTCATAAATTCATGATTATATTGTTAAATAAAATTACCTTTTGATAAAAAGAACTTTAAAAGGAACAAATTCTGTGATTCTTTTTGGGATAAAGCTGTTTACATACCAGGTACTGGTTTCCTAAACCTCTGGTCATGCTCGGATCCATGCTTGAATCCATCACATCATTCTCTTTGTTACATAGTGGTGTGCCACCAGGACTCCTAAGAATATAACGAATGAGAAGTATAGTACAGCTAGATGTGATGTCTGCAGTTTTAGGCATGTCTTGGCTCTGATTCCAACAATACAAAGTAAAAGTGATCTTGCCTCATTAAGTTGACTTTTCGAAGCTGTACCCGAAGATTCATGGGATTTTTGGTTGGTGTCCTACAGACAGTCCTACAGAGAAGAGCACAAATTATGTATAGCAAAAACCAATGCATTGCTTTGAAGCAAAATAAATACATTTATTTATGCACAATTTTACCTGCAAAGGCTTGATCTAGACTTCAAGGGGAGGTCAGGATTAAAGCGCCGTAAACGGACTTTCTGCAAGTCTGCGAGTGTGACCAGTGGTGAACTTTTCTCTGGAGACACCTGTGAACAAATGTGCCATCACAAATATCGACTCAATGCAGAATTCAATGGAAAATTGAGGACACAATTAGTGGTCGACCGATATATCGCCAAGGCCGATATATCGGCCGATATTTGGCATTTTTGAAATATCGGCTTTGGCCTATACGTTTTTCTGTTTGGCCGATGTGTTCGAGGTGGGACTTTTAGTTTGACGGCGCTGAGTGCTGCAGCGCCTGAGCCTACAGTGCTCACATTCTCCTTGTTCGCCGTCATCGTTCAGTTCTGTCTAATACGGATAGAAGTCTGTCTAATAATTAGATAGAACTGTTAAATAAAGGAATTAAAATGTATACAAAAAGTATTATAACGATTGCTTTTATATTATTAGTAATAGAACATTATAATACTTTCTCGTTTGCCGTCAGCATTCAGCAAATACTCATTTACATAATTTAAACAAATCTTTGAATGGCTAATAAAATTTTTATTTCACAAACCTTGCAAACTTAGTCGAAACCAGTTGTGAGATCTTGTGAAGTGTGCATGTGACTTGCATGATCGCGTGTTCTCTGCTTGAATTTCGGTCCGTGCAAATTGAATGCTTTAAACATAAATTCGTGATTTCAAATTATGCTGCACTTGCCCACTGTCATGTTCATGTCATTTTCACTGTGTGCTGTATGTGTGATGCGTGTTATAAGTGTTACCTTGGCTTTATTTGAAAAAATATAATTCCCAATGCACACAAACTTCCCAGAATACTGAGTGCTCTGTTGGTTACAGTTTACTTCCTTTTTAATCATAAAATTATAAAAAATATTTATTTGTGGAAAATACTTTGTCATCTAAAGTATAAGTATGTTTACTTTACAAAATTATTTTTTTAATCCATTTTCAAATGATTTCAAATTTCTTAAATATTAATGAAAATAAATACAATTATATCGACCACCCGGCTTTTCAAGATATCGGCATCGGCTGTCAAAAACCCAATATCGGTCGACCACTAGACACAATCTTTAACTCACCTGAGTTTTTTGGCCTGCAGTCACTTTCCTTAGTCGTACTGTTTGAAGAGCTCGAAGAGTCACAGCAGCAGGGCCATTTTGCTTCTCCTGTTAGGGGACAGGAGGAAAATGAGTGCAAAACCTAAAATAGTGCAAACCTTCATAACTTGTTTTCTCAACAAGCAAAGTGAAGTGAATTGAAAAATAAACTATTACCTTCAGAGAGCTAGTTTGTGTAGGTTTTGGGGGAAGTGAGGCCATCTTCGGAGCAGCAAGTGTCAACAGAATTTGAGGAGGAGGAAGAGGAGGTGGTGGTGGTGGAGGTGGAAGTGAGACAGGCGGAGGTGTTGAGTGCTGAACACCATCAGGCATTTCACATTGACCGCCTGCAGTCTTGGCTTCTCGATACAGCTATCAAGTAATATTTTATACACTTTACAAGCAATGGAAATGAAAATAATTAAAGAACATTCTTTTCAGTATAGCTGGAGGAAGAGGAGGAGGCGGGGGAGGAGGAGGAGGTGGTGGCAGAGGTAGAGAGTGCTGAACACCATCAGGCATTTCACACTGACCGCCTACAGTCTTGACTTCACGGTACAGCTATGAGGTAATATTTTATACACATTACAAGCACTGGAATTTTGAAAATAATTAAAGAAAATCCTTTTCAGTACAGCTGAAAAATTCCAACCTTCAAAGTGGAATGCAATAGTGCGATTTCCCTTTGCAGCTCCTCTACTTTTTGGTGAAGGGACTCCACTCTTTCTGAATAGCCTCTCCAGATAAAGACGACATTCAAGAAACCGGAACAGATCTAAAAAGACAAGCAGTTCAGACACTGAAAAGCTCTTTTGAACTCTAATAAAATGAAAAAAGAAAAACTTACTTGATTAATCGTCTTTCTGCATTTTTGCATAACACGTCCAACTGCAGAAAACAGAGCTCCAATACTTAGTGATGAAGACCGCGGTTTAGTGGCTTGAACACTTGTCTCCTCCATAGTGTCCCCCTTTGATTTGTTGTCTGGACTGGGTGGAAGTATTACCAGAAAGTAAAGTAAGTATATATATAGATATACAGTTAGCTCATAAGCCTTTTATTTTCAAAGTCTTACAGGGATAGTTTACCCATATTTTGTGAAATATCTTATTTTTTTTTATAATACAATGGAAGTCAATAGGCACCAAAACTGTTTGGTCACCAACATTATTCTTCAAATATCTTCTTTTCACAACAGATATTATTTCAGCAAATGAAGTTATTATTTTGTCTTGTGGAATATATGTAAATATCTATCTAGCATATTTGATCTTAACACAAGCATATACATGGCGTGTACATGATATGTGGTACAACAATTCTAAACTATACTGCAAGTGTATATGAAAGCACTGTATATACAGGCGTTGCTTTTGTAGATGCATAAGTAATTCAGTTGCTCACACAGGGGCCATTAGTATGGCAGGAGTCCCAAGTGGCATCTTGCTCTTTATGGCCCAGCGTCGACTGCAGCCATTTCTCTTCCTCCGCCGCTGAAAGGCACTGCCGAGGACCTGGAAAGGAATCACACATCGTTTAATGATTCATGATTTACCGATTTAAGTAACTTAGCTAATAGTAACAACATACCCCGAATCCAAGCATATCCGGAGTTGCTGACACTGACAGATGTCTGTCTGATTTTGAAAATAGTTCCTTTTCGTTTACCCTCCAATAGGATTGCAGCTGAAGTGCAATGGGGCGGGGCTTAACTTTTGATTGGTTAAGTAAAACGGAAAGGGTTTGCATCTGGAGCGGAACGCTTTCAACCAATCACTGCGGCGGTTTGTCTGTTACCATAGCAGGAGCGTAAACACAGAGCATGATGTTTGATCGTAAGCAAAAACAGTACATTTGTCTAGTTGGGTTTAAGAAACATTTCGAGCAGTAAAAAGTAAAATTAAGTATCAAGCCAAGACGCGACAATTAGTAATTTTTAGTCAAATATAGGTCTTTATATTTTTTGTTTAGAGACATATAGACATCAGCATTTTCTGTGCTCAAGCTTTTACTAATGGCTGGAAAAGTCTTCTGTGAGGCAACAAAACTGTACAACATCCTAAATCAATACACTTTTCTACCAAGGCTAGCAGAGAGCAACTATCTTTGTTTGATTGGTAAGCATTAAGTTATACTGAAATACTGACTGTACATTGAACGTACTAATTCAAACACCAGCAAATGAAAGTGAAAGTATAATAACAGTCTTATTTCTTCAGATGCCCGTGCAGCAGAATCATATAACTTCAGCCACATCATTACTGCCAGAAATGCTAAATGGGTATGTTTCAGTTTTATGTTTTTTTCCCTCTAAAGTTTATGTTTTTTATATCCTGTTTCGCTACACTGTCGAATATCAAATCACCACTGGTATTCTTTTTTGCTTGCTTTTCAAAGGATTCTGATGGGAAGTTTATTATACCCTTGGATGTTGAGGTTGAAAGTATGAGATGCATAATTGTCTATGACAGTAGTACACATTCACTGTCAGATTCAGGTAAGACACTACATGTTCTAACATGTTATGAACTCTGCTAAAAATGTTAGTGCAGCTCTGAAAGCATCCTAACTGTATGTTTTTCTTATAGGTCCAGCTATAGACTGTGCAGACAGCATAGAAAAATCAAGCCAATTTCCTGTTCAGATTCTTAGTGGGGGCTATGAGAAGTTTTCTGCACTCTACCCGTTCCTAAGAACTCCAAAGATTCTTTACAATATTAGGGTATTATTCTTAATAGATCATAAATTAAGTGTTTTTTTTTTGTTGCTGTTTGTAAACATATTTAATGATCATAAATACTTATGTTCATAGGAATTGGAGAGCTTGAATCCCTATCCTGTGGAAATCTTGCCAGGCAAGCTTTATATGGGTGATTACAGGCAGGCCACAAACCTTCAAATCCTTAAAGATCTGAAGCTGAATGCTCTTGTCAATGTCTCTGATGAATGCAGTCTTGTGTGAGCCAACCCACCATTTCATATATACAGTGGGGCAAAAAAGTATTTAGTCAGCCACCAAGCAGATTTGATCACTTCATTCGAGAGAATGTGTGTTTTTATTGGTAAGTACTGGGAGATTTTTTTCGTCCAGTGGATGAACAATAACTCAAATATCTAAAAAGAAAAATCTGATGTTTAGTTATGATTGTGGGTGTTTTAAACATTTCAGGTTCACATCTCAATAACTCTTCTTCTGTTTTGATATTCTCTACTCTTGGAGTAAGCCGATGCTGTGCTGTAACAATGGCATATCTTATGTATCACCTCAAATACACACTTAAGGTAATGTTTTTACTTTTTGCATTGATGTTACTGACAGATACTTTTTAAATATTTCTCACCTGTCATATCTGAATATTTTAGGAGGCATGGAATCATATTCAGCAGTGCAAAGCCAACATGAAGCCAAATCGAGGATTTGTACAGCAACTTTCTGACTGGGAACTTCAGACTCTTGGGAAGAGAGTGACAGATATATCAGAACCCAACTACTGACAATAACAACATTTAACATCATGTGCGTATTCATATTCAATGACTTTCTACAGTCACTAATGATACAGAATCATAGATGTTTATTTAATGTTATATATCAATTAAAATAATATTTAAAAAAACTACTTCCAGTAAACACACTATAGACTATATTAGAATGTATAAAATAGTTCTAAGATTTTCATCCACTTTACTGTATGTTGCTTTAACACACACACACACACATATAATGTGTTGTAAATTTAATAAACCTTTTACAAATTTGCTGCCGAATCATCATTCCTATGTCATAATAAGAGGTTCTGTCTGCAATTTCAACACTGACACTGAACTCTAGTTATTCACATTTGGTATATTCCCTCTCCCTCTTTATGGGCGTCTATGGGAAGTCAGTCGGTAGGCTACAGCGTCTATGACGGATCTGTCTTGTTTTGAAAGCGCTCATTGGTCAGATTGCAGGGAGGGGCGTTTCATTATGCCGCGGGGTTGGTCTCTGATTGGCTACTCTTGTTGTGAAGCTGCGTTCAGATGACAGACGTCTGTCAAAGATAGCGAGGCGCTCCGACAACGGTGGAACAGACCTTTATTCTCTTCACTGAAACATCATGTGCGTATTCATATTCAATGACTTTCTACAGTCACTGATGATACAGAATCATAGATGTTTATTTAATGTTATATATCAATTCAAATAATATTTAAAAAAACTACTTCCAGTAAACACACTATAGACTATATTAGAATGTATAAAATAGTTCTAAGATTTTCATCCACTTTACTGTATGTTGCTTTAACACACACACACACACACACACATATATAATGTGTTGTAAATTTAATAAACCTTTTAAAAATTTGCTGCCGAATCATCATTCCTATGTCATAATAAGAGGTTCTGTCTGCAATTTCAACACTGACACTGAACTCTAGTTATTCACAGTTGGTATATTCCCTCTCCCTCTTTATGGGCGTCTATGGGAAGTCAGTCGGTAGGCTACAGCGTCTATGACGTATCTGTCTTGTTTTGAAAGCGCTCATTGGTCAGATTGCAGGGAGGGGCGTTTCATTATGCCGCGGGGTTGGTCTCTGATTGGCTACTCTTGTTGTGAAGCTGCGTTCAGATGACAGACGTCTGTCAAAGATAGCGAGGCGCTCCGACAACGGTGGAACAGACCTTTATTCTCTTCACTCTACCTTTCATCAAATACACTCTCTGGAAATGTTATTTAACCCGACTGGTTTGAACGAATGTTTACAAGAATGGGAGGATCTGGAAAAAGACTATCAACAAGTTCAGGTGAGGAGTCTTTCTTTCTCCACTGCTAATCAGATAGCACTGCTCTGAACTATGAGATCTTACTCTTCCATCTTTAAATGTTTTTATATACATTGTATTTGTTTTTATGTACAAATGTATCGAAGTATCGCTATGAACAGCTAATTGTATCGATAGGCTTCAGCTTTGAGCACTAGCTGCTTAGCAATTTAATCCTTACCAACTCACAGTATAACAGTGGTACAATAAATACAAAAAAAACACATGTTTGTAGCTTTTTATTAATAAATAGCACCTACAGTTCCCACAAAAATAACGTGTAATTGCAATATATGAAGTATTCTGCATTGCATCTGTATGGGTCAATGACAAACAATAATGTACAATATCATAAAAAGAAGAATTTTTAATACACATGTGCCAAGTTAATAGAAATATCAGCCTTGGATTAATAATGGTTTCAAATATTTATGAGACACACACACACACACACACATATATATATATATATAAAATCTAAAAATGTTGGTTAGTCCACACAGATGGTGAAATAAATAGTAATAATAAGCCTTTAAATACACCAGAAATATCAAAATGACTGTTCATCACGAGATAGGCATATACACATTTGTAATGTCTATGTTTGTTGCACAGGAGACACATCGACTTTACAAATACAAATGTATCGAAGTATCGCTATGAACAGCTAAATTGTATCGATAGGCTTCAGCTTTGAGCACTAGCTGCTTAGCAATTTAATCCTTACCAACTCACAGTATAACAGTGGTACAATAAATACAAAAAAAACACATGTTTGTAGCTTTTTATTAATAAATGGCACCTACAGTTCCCACAAAAATAACGTGTAATTGCAATATATGAAGTATTCTGCATTGCATTTGTATGGGTCAATGACAAACAATAATGTACAATATCATAAAAAGAAGAATTTTTAATACACATGTGCCAAGTTAATAGAAATATCAGCCTTGGATTAATAATGGTTTCAAATATTTATGAGACACACACACACACACACACATATATATATATATATATAAAATCTAAAAATGTTGGTTAGTCCACACAGATGGTGAAATAAATAGTAATAATAAGCCTTTAAATACACCAGAAATATCAAAATGACTGTTCATCACGAGATAGGCATATACACATTTGTAATGTCTATGTTTGTTGCACAGGAGACACATCGACTTTACAAACACAAGCTGGAGGAGGTTTCGAGACTGCAGGATAGCTGTTCTTCTTCTATTGCACGGCAGAGGAAAAAGATAAAGGATCTCAATGAATCCCTACAGGAGTAAGTCATGAGTTATACAGTGGGTACGGAAAGTATTCAGACCCCCTTAAATTTGCTACAAATAAATGTTATTGATCTATGTCTTATATTTCTTTTTTTTCTATCATAGATGCAGAGCGGTAGTGAATCCAGAAGATGTAAATAAAATAGATGAGATCCAAGATTCTATAAAGGAAAGATCAAATGTCTTCTTTGAGATGGAGGCCTTCCTGCCAAAGAAAAATGAGTAATGCAAATGAGAGATAGCTAATGTCACCTCTGTCACACCCTCTTTTAAAATACACATTATCAGCATTTACTATTCAAAGCAGGTCATACAGCTCTGTATTTGCCTGTTTCTAATTCAGTGTTGACCTTAAAATACTGTAGACTAAAGGTGTGGTATAGAATTCAAAAATAATTCATAGTGGTGTGTGGATTTGCAGTTTACCTTGTTCAGACACATACTATGATTCGGCAAGCACCTGATGCTAACATGAAATACTTTACTCTGTTTTTGTTGCAGGTTATACCTTAGTCTTGTTCTTGGAAATGTTAACGTTACACTCCTTAACAAACAGTCCAAGTAAGTTCTCCGAACAGTCCTATTTGATTAAAATGTTTAGAAAATTTCTCAATAGCCTTGTGATCATCATCTTTAAACATTGTGGTGTCACAAAACGCAGTCATGTTAATGAGTCATGAGTCATGTGATTTGTCTGACTTTTGCCTGTTTCTCAATTGTACAGGTTTGCCTTTAAGGATGAGTATGAGAAGTTCAAACTATACTTGACTGTGCTGCTCTTGTTGTTCTCATTCACCTGTCGGTTTTTGGTCACCTACAGGTACATGTTTATTGCAATTTTTTGAGAGTGTAAAAGTGTACTTTTTTAAATTTCTTGTAGAAACAGCCATTTAATCATTGGTTATATGTAATGCTGCATGTTTCACTAATACATGTGAAATAATCAATTGAACTTATTTTTTGTCTTTCTTCCCTTGTGTCTTTTGACAGGGTCCTAGATGCACATTTCAACTTCCTGCTGGTGTGGTATTACTGTACATTGACAATAAGAGAGAGCATCCTCATTAATAATGGCTCCAAGTACGAATAATCATATGATTATACTCTTAAAAATAAAGGTTCTTTTCATTTTATGTAATAAATGTAACACTGCCTTTCAATAAATGATAAAGTGAGACTAAAGAAAGAGAAATAAAGAAAGATGTTTTTGTAGGCATCTATTGTTCCATGAAGAATCTTAAAGATCCATGGAACCTTTCCACAATCCTCGCATACATTTTTTTTTTAAAGTGTTCTTTTACAAGAACTATTCACTGGAAGGATTTTTTGGAACACAGAATGGTTCTATGGCATCATTGTGAAAACCTCCGTTTGGAACCTTTATTTTTTACAGTGTATGTATTTTTGACATGTATTAAATCAGTACTACAGGCTATACTGTAAAGTTTCAATACTTGGCCTGTGTTTCAGGATCAAGGGCTGGTGGGTGTTTCAACACTATGTCTCAACATTTCTCTCTGGAGTAATGCTGACCTGGTATGACACACTTCACTCTTTAACACTGTGAGATATTACAACATTACATCTTTGAATCTTTGGTACTTTAATAAAGAGTATTTTTGTTTTTAAGTAGGCTAGTACACTTTATAGTCATTTTTGAGGAACAGTAGAACAGAATAAGTGTGAAAAAGACTGAGATAGTATGTGTGAATATCTGATGTGCGTCAGCTGTTCATGTGCGTCTCACAGGCCAGATGGTGAACTCTACCAGATGTTCAGAAATCAGTTCCTGTCCTACTCCATGTATATAAGTGAGAACTTCTTCCTTACAGCATTAATAACACATTCAGTGTAATAATGATTTATTCATTGTTTTATTTAATCATTTATTTTTCTTGTTTGTTCTCCCTTCAGATTTTGTTCAGTTTCTCCAGTACTATTACCAGAGTGGCTGCTTATATAGACTCAGAGCTCTTGGAGAAAGACACAACATGGACCTAACAGTTGGTGGGTAGTGTGTTGTTTTGTCTGTGTGTCTGTTTTTCCTTATTCTATTGCAGAATTATCAGCTAACACGTTTTCACATGTGCTTTATGATCAGAGGGGTTTCAGTCCTGGATGTGGAGGGGTCTGACCTTTCTACTGCCTTTCCTTTTCTTGGGCCATGTAAGTTTGATACTGTGTTTGTTAATCATGGGTTGTTTTGCAATAAATGCAATCATCTTGCATGGACAAACAGCTCACTTCCTGTTTTGTGGCAATGTAATCATTGTTTTAAAGACTTCTTCTGTGGCACACAGTGCCAGTTTATAGGTGTAATGTTATTATAATTTACCTGTGCTTGAATTACAGTAACAGGCAAAAGAAGACTTTACTTAATACTGACATGAAATGTTGACATGGGTATTCAGAAAGGTTCTGATGTAATTCTATTGTTATTATGCTGTGGTTCTAACCGTCTTATTATGCATATCCAGTTTTTCCAGCTTTATAATGGAATTACACTCTTCCAAATGGCCCAGCTTCCAGAATGGAAAGAGTGGCAGGTCAGTTTTTCAAAATAATTTAAAATGTTTACATCATGTGCCAACACATATTAGCTAAATGACATTATATTTAACTATCGAAGATGTGTATGTTGCTTTAAGCCAGGAGTGTTAGTATATCTTTTTTGTGATTATGTTGAAATCATTTGTAATTAAAATGCTTTCTTTTTCTTAGGTTCTCATGTGCGGCTCTACTTTCCTTGTTTTGTTCATGGGAAATTTCTTCACCACCCTTGGTGTTGTTTACCACAAATACATGGATCAGGACAAAGCCAAGGCTTTATAAATGACGGGCACATAGGCACTGCTGTACTCTTTATTAAAGCAATTTATGTTTTATATGAATGTTTTTTTTATGTTTAATATGAATGTTTGCTTGTGGTTCAACCTGGCTAAGTTAAGATTTTTGTAAATGTGTCACAAAGCATAAGGGATGAAATGTCTTTGCCCTAAACCTAAAATATTACATATTTTGCTTTTATTTTATTAAAGCACTAAGTGTCATGGTGTTTTGCACACCATATGTCAAAGACAGTCATGACATCCAAATATGATAACAGTGTGTTTATGTTTTCTTTTTACACACCTTTTTTAAACACCTCTGGCCTATGTTTAAAGCTGATTGGAATGGGCAAGTTAATGATCTCGAAGACAGAAGCTAGAAGACAGTTATGGAAATCATTTGCTATCAGTGGCATTGTTTCACAATGTCACAACATGACTTTACCATCATAGGACTATGACACCTTCATGTGAGCAAGAAGCATGTGCAGTCAGCCAAATGCTAGGAAAATTTCAATGAATTTTTTCAAAAAATATCCCTTAAGTGCCTTCAGCCGAACGTTAGGTCCGAGGTTTTTACTATTGTAAAAGACATCTCATCAACTTGCATTTTAAACCAAAAATTCCAGTTCAGTTTTTTTAATTCTCTTGTCTTTATTTGACAACACTCATAGCATTTATAATAACTCAGAATAACTACGGTCTCAGACAGGCGCCCTTCAGTTCTAAGTGAGGAAAAAAATGCTGCAATTGACAATCACGTCAGAATAAAAATTAAATAATTTCGAAAAACACGTTAACGCATTCTAAACATTACAACAAAGCAAAAAAGTAGAATCTGTACAAAGTTAAACTGCTGCTTAATATCACGAGGGATATTTGAACTTGCGCTGGCAACCCGGCGTTTCAATGTGACGTAAGCTCGTGCTGTGCCCCTCGCTCCAGCTAACCGGAGGTATGTGTTTATTAGTGTGTATTCTGTTGAATTATATTAATAGCCATTCCTAATAGTTTAATTTCAATCCTTTTGTGAAGTCATAAACAAAAGTGAACATTTTGTGTATGTACGCGCGTATGTCTGCCCTTACAAAAAGCACTGTGGCGATGGTAGCATAGTACAGTGATAGTATCAGATGGTAACGTTACACAATGTGACTTTGCGACGTGATACTGAGTGATTGACATATTCATGTACAATGGACGTCAAAATATTTATACAAAGACATGTTAAATGTCCAAAAACATGTCAGTAGTACAGTACTTCTGCTTTTTAAGACATGAGGGCTATTTTGTAACACGTCATGGCTGTTATTGAGCGATAAAAGTTTCTGTGTAAGGACTGACATTTAATTAGCAATTGACGAAAGTCCTTCAAAGGAAAGGGTGTTTTGTAATTGGTCATCATTATGCAATTACATTGAGTCTTCAAAAGAGGGCACAACATGACAGTCACAAGTTAAACTGAGCCCTGTTCTTCAGATTAAAAAAGGTTCAAACATTTTTTAACATATTAAAAAAGGTTCAAACATTCACTGATGCTCCAGAAGGAAACACGATGACATGATCAAAAAGTTTTCACCCCCCGGCTCTTAATGCATGGTGTTTCCTTCTGGAGCATCAGTGAATGTTTGAACCTTTTTTAATAGTTGTGTTTGAGCCCCTCAATTGTCCTCAGTCTGAAAAGATGGATTTCAGAATCATACAGTCACTGCTGGAAAGGGTTCAAATATGCAAAAGATGCTGGAAAACTGAAGAATCTGCGGGATATGGAGGATTTTTCTGAAGAACAGGGCTCAGTTTAACTGTTCAGAACAAACAAGAGACTCCTGAACAACCATAACAAAAAAAAAGAAAAACAGTTTTGGATCATCCAGGTAACCACACACAGTATTAAGAACCCAGGGTTCCCAAACTTTTGAAGGGGGTTATTTTAATAATTTAAGCAATTTGTTTTTGTCTTGTGGACTATATGTAAAAAAAAAAAAAGTAAAATATCTTACTCAGGGCACAGTACTAAATAACAAATAACATGCATTTTGTATGATCTCTCTTATTTTGTTAAAATTATTCACATTTTCACAGATTCTGCAAGGGGTTCCCAAAGTTTTGCATGCCACCGTATATTATGTTACCTACATGGCCACAAACTATGCAAGTAAAAATGCAAACGTTTTTAAAACTATCTATCTATACTGTCTATCTATTCAATTTTTTTTACATTTTATATATGATTATTAAATTATATAAATACAAATTGTATATGTGTATATATAGTGTGACTTCCTAATTTATGTGTGTGTGTGTGTATGTATGTATGTATGTATGCGTAAGTCCCTTCAATCAATTGTAGACTAATACTAAGTGATGAAAACAATCTGTTTTCGCAGACATATCTGCTTTCTGAATTCTGTGAAAATGGAAGACAGTGAATCCCAGCTGCTCGCCGATGAGGAGCAGACTCCGGAGCCTCTCCTCAGCTCTCTGGACATCTTCCTCTTCTCTCTAATCGCAGGACTTCTTATCTACTGGTTCTTCTTCCGAAAAAAAACAGAGCCTGTTCCAGAGATCAAGCCATTCACTCCAGTGTAAGTGCCTGATTTTAAATCCCCTTCCCCCTTCATTTGTTCTCAAGAGGGAAATATTACACCCACACACATTTTTCTGCACGACTGAAATGTTGATCAGAGCTTTAAAAGAGTTTTGTAAAACACAAGCACAATATATCTGTTCCATCCCATAAAAGTGTAAATGCAAATGATAAAGTTACAAAACTAGCATATGCATTACAGCCCATGGCAGAAACTGTGTTATGGGGCTCAAATTTGCAATAATATTTTTGTTGGATGGCCTGTTTATAGTTTTTCTCCCCATAGACCTTTGGCCTTGTTTGAACAAAGCATCGTTTCTGCACCATGGCTCGTTCCTAAAGCACTTTGTGGTTCAGTTGGTCATGGGTTCCAACATTGCAAAGTGGTGACATCATGGGATCGAGAGAATGTGCGTGCATTACATTTTGTGTTATGGTCTGTAGCAGCTGAGACACAGTTCATATACACAGTGGTTATGTGTCATTGTGAATGCCAACAGCTACTTATTTGTTCACAAATTTTCATATGCCATGTATGAAAAAAAGTGAATTTCCTGTTCGGTTTTCACAATGCTCAACAGTCAATGACTCAGTTAGTGATATCAAACATTAAACTGAGCTGTGTAATAAACAGAAGGATTATATGTGACCCTGGACCACAAAACCAGTCTTAAGTAGCACAGGTATATTTGTAGCAATAGCCAACAATACATTGTATGGGTCAAAATTATCGATTTTTCTTTTATGCCAAAAATCATTAGGCAAGGCAAGTTTATTTATATAGCACAAATATACATATTACAGGTGCATCTCAATAAATTAGAATGTCATGGAAAAGTTCATTTATTCAGTAATTCAACTCAAATTGTGAAACTCGTGTATTAAATACATTCAATGCACACAGACGGAAGTAGTTTAAGTCTTTGGTTCTTTTAATTGTGATGATTTTGGCTCACATTTAACAAAAACCCACCAATTCACTATCTCAGCAAATTAGAATATGGTGACATGCCAATCAGCTAAGTGATAGTATCAGATGGTAACGTTACACAATGTGACTTTGCGACGTGATACTGAGTGATTGACATATTCATGTACAATGGACGTCAAAATATTTATACAAAGACATGTTAAATGTCCAAAAACATGTCAGTAGTACAGTACTTCTGCTTTTTAAGACATGAGGGCTATTTTGTAACACGTCATGGCTGTTATTGAGCGATAAAAGTTTCTGTGTAAGGACTGACATTTAATTAGCAATTGACGAAAGTCCTTCAAAGGAAAGGGTGTTTTGTAATTGGTCATCATTATGCAATTACATTGAGTCTTCAAAAGAGGGCACAACATGACAGTCACAAGTTAAACTGAGCCCTGTTCTTCAGATTAAAAAAGGTTCAAACATTTTTTAACATATTAAAAAAGGTTCAAACATTCACTGATGCTCCAGAAGGAAACACGATGACATGATCAAAAAGTTTTCACCCCCCGGCTCTTAATGCATGGTGTTTCCTTCTGGAGCATCAGTGAATGTTTGAACCTTTTTTAATAGTTGTGTTTGAGCCCCTCAATTGTCCTCAGTCTGAAAAGATGGATTTCAGAATCATACAGTCACTGCTGGAAAGGGTTCAAATATGCAAAAGATGCTGGAAAACTGAAGAATCTGCGGGATATGGAGGATTTTTCTGAAGAACAGGGCTCAGTTTAACTGTTCAGAACAAACAAGAGACTCCTGAACAACCATAACAAAAAAAAAGAAAAACAGTTTTGGATCATCCAGGTAACCACACACAGTATTAAGAACCCAGGGTTCCCAAACTTTTGAAGGGGGTTATTTTAATAATTTAAGCAATTTGTTTTTGTCTTGTGGACTATATGTAAAAAAAAAAAAAGTAAAATATCTTACTCAGGGCACAGTACTAAATAACAAATAACATGCATTTTGTATGATCTCTCTTATTTTGTTAAAATTATTCACATTTTCACAGATTCTGCAAGGGGTTCCCAAAGTTTTGCATGCCACCGTATATTATGTTACCTACATGGCCACAAACTATGCAAGTAAAAATGCAAACGTTTTTAAAACTATCTATCTATACTGTCTATCTATTCAATTTTTTTTACATTTTATATATGATTATTAAATTATATAAATACAAATTGTATATGTGTATATATAGTGTGACTTCCTAATTTATGTGTGTGTGTGTGTATGTATGTATGTATGTATGCGTAAGTCCCTTCAATCAATTGTAGACTAATACTAAGTGATGAAAACAATCTGTTTTCGCAGACATATCTGCTTTCTGAATTCTGTGAAAATGGAAGACAGTGAATCCCAGCTGCTCGCCGATGAGGAGCAGACTCCGGAGCCTCTCCTCAGCTCTCTGGACATCTTCCTCTTCTCTCTAATCGCAGGACTTCTTATCTACTGGTTCTTCTTCCGAAAAAAAACAGAGCCTGTTCCAGAGATCAAGCCATTCACTCCAGTGTAAGTGCCTGATTTTAAATCCCCTTCCCCCTTCATTTGTTCTCAAGAGGGAAATATTACACCCACACACATTTTTCTGCACGACTGAAATGTTGATCAGAGCTTTAAAAGAGTTTTGTAAAACACAAGCACAATATATCTGTTCCATCCCATAAAAGTGTAAATGCAAATGATAAAGTTACAAAACTAGCATATGCATTACAGCCCATGGCAGAAACTGTGTTATGGGGCTCAAATTTGCAATAATATTTTTGTTGGATGGCCTGTTTATAGTTTTTCTCCCCATAGACCTTTGGCCTTGTTTGAACAAAGCATCGTTTCTGCACCATGGCTCGTTCCTAAAGCACTTTGTGGTTCAGTTGGTCATGGGTTCCAACATTGCAAAGTGGTGACATCATGGGATCGAGAGAATGTGCGTGCATTACATTTTGTGTTATGGTCTGTAGCAGCTGAGACACAGTTCATATACACAGTGGTTATGTGTCATTGTGAATGCCAACAGCTACTTATTTGTTCACAAATTTTCATATGCCATGTATGAAAAAAAAGTGAATTTCCTGTTCGGTTTTCACAATGCTCAACAGTCAATGACTCAGTTAGTGATATCAAACATTAAACTGAGCTGTGTAATAAACAGAAGGATTATATGTGACCCTGGACCACAAAACCAGTCTTAAGTAGCACAGGTATATTTGTAGCAATAGCCAACAATACATTGTATGGGTCAAAATTATCGATTTTTCTTTTATGCCAAAAATCATTAGGCAAGGCAAGTTTATTTATATAGCACAAATATACATATTACAGGTGCATCTCAATAAATTAGAATGTCATGGAAAAGTTCATTTATTCAGTAATTCAACTCAAATTGTGAAACTCGTGTATTAAATACATTCAATGCACACAGACGGAAGTAGTTTAAGTCTTTGGTTCTTTTAATTGTGATGATTTTGGCTCACATTTAACAAAAACCCACCAATTCACTATCTCAGCAAATTAGAATATGGTGACATGCCAATCAGCTAATATTAAGAACCCAGGGTTCCCAAACTTTTGAAGGGGGTTATTTTAATAATTTAAGCAATTTGTTTTTGTCTTGTGGACTATATGTAAAAAAAAAAAAAGTAAAATATCTTACTCAGGGCACAGTACTAAATAACAAATAACATGCATTTTGTATGATCTCTCTTATTTTGTTAAAATTATTCACATTTTCACAGATTCTGCAAGGGGTTCCCAAAGTTTTGCATGCCACCGTATATTATGTTACCTACATGGCCACAAACTATGCAAGTAAAAATGCAAACGTTTTTAAAACTATCTATCTATACTGTCTATCTATTAATTTTTTTTTACATTTTATATATGATTATTAAATTATATAAATACAAATTGTATATGTGTATATATAGTGTGACTTCCTAATTTATGTGTGTGTGTGTGTATGTATGTATGTATGTATGTATGCGTAAGTCCCTTCAATCAATTGTAGACTAATACTAAGTGATGAAAACAATCTGTTTTCGCAGACATATCTGCTTTCTGAATTCTGTGAAAATGGAAGACAGTGAATCCCAGCTGCTCGCCGATGAGGAGCAGACTCCGGAGCCTCTCCTCAGCTCTCTGGACATCTTCCTCTTCTCTCTAATCGCAGGACTTCTTATCTACTGGTTCTTCTTCCGAAAAAAAACAGAGCCTGTTCCAGAGATCAAGCCATTCACTCCAGTGTAAGTGCCTGATTTTAAATCCCCTTCCCCCTTCATTTGTTCTCAAGAGGGAAATATTACACCCACACACATTTTTCTGCACGACTGAAATGTTGATCAGAGCTTTAAAAGAGTTTTGTAAAACACAAGCACAATATATCTGTTCCATCCCATAAAAGTGTAAATGCAAATGATAAAGTTACAAAACTAGCATATGCATTACAGCCCATGGCAGAAACTGTGTTATGGGGCTCAAATTTGCAATAATATTTTTGTTGGATGGCCTGTTTATAGTTTTTCTCCCCATAGACCTTTGGCCTTGTTTGAACAAAGCATCGTTTCTGCACCATGGCTCGTTCCTAAAGCACTTTGTGGTTCAGTTGGTCATGGGTTCCAACATTGCAAAGTGGTGACATCATGGGATCGAGAGAATGTGCGTGCATTACATTTTGTGTTATGGTCTGTAGCAGCTGAGACACAGTTCATATACACAGTGGTTATGTGTCATTGTGAATGCCAACAGCTACTTATTTGTTCACAAATTTTCATATGCCATGTATGAAAAAAAGTGAATTTCCTGTTCGGTTTTCACAATGCTCAACAGTCAATGACTCAGTTAGTGATATCAAACATTAAACTGAGCTGTGTAATAAACAGAAGGATTATATGTGACCCTGGACCACAAAACCAGTCTTAAGTAGCACAGGTATATTTGTAGCAATAGCCAACAATACATTGTATGGGTCAAAATTATCGATTTTTCTTTTATGCCAAAAATCATTAGGCAAGGCAAGTTTATTTATATAGCACAAATATACATATTACAGGTGCATCTCAATAAATTAGAATGTCATGGAAAAGTTCACGGTGGTAATTCAAAGTGCTTTACATAAAAGGAAGTAAAATAATCACAACAATAAAAACAAGGACTTTAAAAGCTTTTAAAATGATTTAAAAATTGATTTAAAATGAATTAAATCAGTTAAAAAACAGTTAAGAGCAAAAGATGATTATACATAAAATACAGTGCAATCAGTTCGGACATAGCACAGTGCTCATTCAGTAAATGCATTAAAGAAGAAATCATGTTCTATGAAGATATTTTGTAAATTTCCTACCGTAAATATATCAAAACTTAATTTTTGATTAGTAATATTAATTGCTAAGGACTTAATTTGGACAACTTTAAAGGTGATTTCTCAATATTTAGATTTTTTTTTTTTGCTCCCTCAGAGTCCAGATTTTCAAATAGTTGTATCTCGGGCAAATATTGTCCTATCCTAACAAACCATACATCAATGGAAACTAAGCTTATTTATTCCGCTTTCAGACAACGTATACATCTTAATAAAACAAAATTGACCCTTATGACTGGTTTTGTGGTCCAAGGTCACATATGAGCTTGAAAATGAGCATTGTTTGTTCAGATGGAGTCACAGGATGTTATTCTTCCTGAATGTTCCTCATAATCCTTGCTAGTCAGTTGTAGTGCTGTTAAACTTGTGACCTATTCACCCTTGAAAACAATGAAAGGCCTGATGACTTTAGCATCAAGGTACCGTTCAAAAATGTTTTTTTAAAGAAATTAATTATTTTATTAAGCAAGAATGCATTAAATAAATAAAAAGTGACAGTAAAGACATATATAATTATACATATTTTTTATTTCAAATAAATTCTGTTCTTTTGAACTTTTTTATTCATCTAAGTATCATGAAATCAATGTATCATGGTTTTCACTAAAATATTAAGCACCAAAACATTGAGAATAATAAGAAATGTTGAGCACCAAATCAGCATATTCAATTGATTTCAGAAGTCACGTCACATGATACTCAAAACTGCAGGAATGTCTGCTGTAAATTCAGCTTTGCATCACAGGAATTCATTTTAAAATAGAATGACAGAGAAAACACTTATTTTAAATTGCACTGATATTTTATTGTATTTTTGTTCAAATAAATGCAGGCTTGGTGAACAGACTTTCAGAAACATTAAAAAAGTAAATTTTGGACAATAGTGTGCACAATTTTTCTTTCCAACATAAATCCCTTTTTACTATTTATTGATTGTGTTTTCTAAAAAAGCAATACATAAAGAACAGAAGATAATACAGGAGGAAATGATGTATAAGTAGAGAACTATAGTATCAGGAAGACATGTTTAGCGAGCAGGAAAGGATAACCTCTTCCAATTCTCTCCACTTCCTGGTTCACATTACTCACATTGAAGGATCGCAGCCAGTCCAAGGCAAGCCATCCTGCCAAAGTCCTGAACAACTCCACTAGTCTTTCTTCTTTAGTTGTTTTAATCAAATGCATTTCTTATGTGGCGTGTGTTAAAAACGGAAGGAAATCCAGAAACTTAGATTGCCTTTTGTTTAGTGATCTTTTGTGTTTTATTAGGGAATGGACTCCTTGTGTTTGCGTTGGCTGGAGCATTCAAGTTTTTATGCATGTTTATGTGTGTGTGTGTGTGTGTGCATTTAAGATTGGGTGTTTAGTAACAGCGTTGTGCTGCAGAGATCCATGGGAAATGTTGTATATTCCTGTTGCTTTGCAACCACTGTGCTCTGGCCAGATGGCAGGAGAGAGAGAGAGAGACAGAGCCCGTCTCAGATCCTTGCCTGCCTCACACCCCCTTTTCCTGCGCCGAAGAGCGATGTGTTTTCTACAGAGCCTCCTAATGAACTTTTATGCAAGCCAAAGGACTTTCTCAGGCTGTCTGAGGGCTTGATCTGAACCTCTTGGGGACGAAAGTGCTTTGTATGCCGAACCCTTAAGGACAGGGTCTTTTCCCCAGTCATGGGATGCATGTTTTCTTTGCCTCAGGACAGACTGGCTGCTGCAGAGAGGTTAGTCTGGGACAGATGGATGTTTATGCGATGTTCCTTCAGTTGTGATAGATATTTCAGGTGCTATTTATGACTTTTGTGTAATTGCTTTTGCTCGAAGAGATTACTTATAGTCTTTTAACAGTGTTGTATGAGTGGTGTTCAAAAGCAAATTGAGGTGTCTAATTTTCATTTGCACAAAGGTTTTGAGCAAAGGTCTTTTGGAATGCTGCAAGAATTCTCTATGAGAAGAGGCTAATTAGTTTCTTTCATTTGGACTTATAAACAAGTATGTAAGGGAGGAATCCATTGTTTTGCGCTGTGATGTCTTGCCAGTGCAATGATGGTTGTGTTTAGTAATTTGATAGTTTGATTATACATTATATACCCTAACCCTGAACTCTACAAAGTAAAAAGTTTGGGCATGCTTAAATGAATCTACAGTCTACACTATTGTTCAAAAGTTTGGTGTCTGGAAGATTTTTTTAAATGTTTTTGATAGAACTCTCTTTTACTCACCAGGCCTGCATTAATTTGACAAAAAATATTGTGAAATATTACAATACAAAAACGACTGTTTTCTACTTTTTAAAATATTTTAAATGTAGTTTATTCCTGTAATGGCAAAACTGAATTTTCAGCATCATCACTTCAGTCTTCAGTGTCACATGATCTTTCAGAAATCATTCTGATATGCTGATTTGCTGCTCAAGAAACATTTTTTATTTTTATCAATGTAAAAAACAGCAGTTGTACTGCTTAATATTAGTTAGTGTTTGCTGAATAAATGTATTAATTTCTGTTTCTAGACTCCAAACTATTGAACAATATTCTTAAAAACAAAATTATATTCTTAAAAATAGATAGATAGATAGAAATGTTTATTTATTTAGATTTTTTTGTAGATTTATTTGTAGAAAGTTTATTTATTTAGAAATTTTGGAAAACTTTTAATTCATTTATTAATTTTTTGTTTACATTTTACAAATAAAGAGCATTTTAATAGGAGTGGAAAACATAAGATTATTGTATCAAACTTACTATGTTCAAGTAAGGTTTTTGCGCTTTGTGGACTGCCTTCTGTTCTTCATTGCTGAATTGCCATGAAAGTTTGTGGTTTTCATTAGTTGAACAATGACTGAAAGCAGACATGTTCTAATGCTGTGGTGCTCTCAGAGGGGTGTGAACTTCAGGAAGTTCTCCTGTGTGGAAAAGGCTGAGAAATGAATGGCTCAATCCCCTATTCATTACCAAAAGAATTGGTCTGGCATGCTTTTCAGCCTTTTCACATGTGTGTTTTTTCTCTCTCTTTTCTTCTTTTTCTCTTCATAGAACACCACAAATACGTGAGACCAGCTTTATTGAGAAAATGAAGAAAACGGTGAGATTTTCAGGAACATTCCCATAGTAGTTAGTAAAGTTCTAAAAAGTTGAAATAATTGGCAAAAATTCCACCACCTTGAACAATGGAAAAAAAGAGTTCCATTATGTTTGATTTCTGTATCTTCCTATTCTAGAACCGAAACATTGTGGTGTTTTATGGATCCCAAACAGGGACTGCTGAGGAATTTGCTAACAGGTTGGCAAAAGATGCCCAACGCTACGGCATGAAAGGCGTGGCCGCTGACCCAGAGGAGTATGACCTGGTACTTTCACCATTATTTCTTCCTGTTTAATGCGCACTATTAAAAATCAATCAGTCAAGATCAGAACTGAGTACTTTTCAAGTCTTTTGACTTTTGTCATTATAATCTCCCATTCGCAGTCCGAGCTGTCTAGACTGAAAGAGATTCCTAATTCCATGGCTGTGTTCTGCATGGCAACCTATGGAGAAGGAGACCCCACAGACAACGCTCAGGAGTTCTACGATTGGATGCAAGGGACTGATGATGATCTAGAGGGGGTCAATTTTGCTGTGAGTAATATTCCAACATTAGCAAAGTGCATAGAAAGCAAATTTTTTTTTTTGTGATTCATTTCTTTGGTGAGTAAACGGGGATCAAGAGATTGCATGGGGCAACCTCGCACCCTCCAAAATTCCTGGCCTTTTTATGGAGTGGTACCTATTTCCTGGGCAGTCGGTGAAGTTCTTAACAAGCCTAAGCCAGAGGCTGTCCCATAGTTAAGGGGCCCATGGAATCCTCATCAGTTCTCTCTCACCAAATGGAAACATCTGGCCTAGCCAAATAAAGCTAGAGCTCCATCCCAGCGGAACTTCTCTCTTAGCGGGATTCTTTCAGATGGAACTGGATCACTGGATCGTCTGTTTCTTTGATTCTGGAGACATGGGTGTCCAGATGCCGCTCAAGTTGGACCTGCATTCTGGATGAAAGCCTTGTGGTTTCAGTCTGGAGTTCTCAGATTCTTTTATGTGGTTGTGGTGGGACAGCGTGATAAAACATGTGGTTGGAAACATCACTGCAGTGCATCTACAGCGTTATATGACTGTGGGACAGGCTAGAGGAGGTTATAAGGAGCAAAGAAGATCCTGCAGACAATTTAATTATTCTGTTGAATATTAGTCCAATGCATTGAAGTCAGTTTTAATCATGAATATATATGACGTTTTTTTTTGTTCTCCAGAAGTCATAATTTAGGTTTAGTTTCCGTTTCCATTTGGTGACTCATATCTCAGTTTGATCTTTTTAAACTGGAGAGGAAGTTTTGAATGATTAAGTAAAACCTTGTAGTAGATTGAACTCGCATAAAAAAATACAAGACAATTTAAATGTTTTTAGTTGACATTAAGCCTTAAAATATTGTATGTGTTGATTGAAAGCGTCTCCATTCTGTCTTTTTTACTCCTTGCAGAGATTGAATGATTTTTTTGCTAATTTTTCATAGGTGTTTGGTTTGGGAAATAAAACATATGAGCACTTCAATGCCACAGGCAAGTATACAGACAAGAGGCTTGCTGAACTTGGGGGAAAAAGGGTCTTTGACTTGGGCCTCGGGGATGACGACATCAAGTGAGTGAATAAAAGATTGAAACAGATAGATAAACATGTTCATGTTGTCTTGTTTTAATTCATTTTCATTGCCTGTCCTAATTATTTCATCTTAAATCATTTGTAGCTTGGAGGAGGATTTTATCTCTTGGAAGGAACAGTTTTGGCCTGCAGTATGTGAATTATTTGGCGTGGAGGCCACGGGAGAAGACAGCAGGTATTATTTTTATTTTCCATGTGCTTGTCTTATAATTGAATCACAACTTTTAATTTAAAAACAGTCTGCAATACAGTCTTGTATTGGTAGGCATCAAATAGTAGAATTTAAAAGAGCCACTCCAGCTGTGTGAGATTGTCTAGTTCAAACGTGATGTTTATTTGATGGGTATTTTGTGGCAACACAACACATGCAGTGTCTCATCTCCATATTAGAGGAAGCAAATCCATTTATCATGTTCTTCCATAACAAAAACCTCCCCTGCCCTGCTTTGAATAGGTTTTTGCATCTTATTAAACATCATAGGTGTTTTGAATGCTTTAAATACAGGCTAGGATGAGATCTCCATTCCTTTTTGTGTTCTTTCAGCATTCGGCAGTTTGAACTGGTGGTTCATAATGACATCAATATGAATCAAGTGTACACCGGAGAGATGGGGCGGCTCAAAAGCTTTCAGACACAGAAACCGTGAGTTCAAGACACCGATCGGCATTTAAAAAGATCACTCTTGATCTGAGAGTACATTTTATGCTTCTATTGTTTAGAAGTCTGTAAAATGACCTTCAGTTTGTGTAAAGTTTTTTAATCATGGTTTTGTGAACGACTTTTTTTTAGAATTAGCTAGAGTCTCATGTTTTAAATTATATACTGAAATGTTACACTAAAGCATTTGATCTGATTGCATTGTTATTCACTTGATTTGTGCAGACCGTTTGATTCAAAGAATCCTTTCCTTGCAACTGTGACTGGTAATCGTAAACTGAACAAAGGAGGAAATCGGCACCTGATGCACATCGAGTTAGATATCACAGACTCTAAAATCAGGTATGCATAATAATTGACTTGTTGGGTGAATCTCATGAAAACGTTTCCAGGTCACGTTTCACCCTAAAAACAGAAAAGGGAAAAAAGGTAATTTGCAGGAAGAAAATTAAGCCTGTTTTTATTATTTGCTTTTTAGTTTTATATTGTATTGCATAAATAATACATATACAATTTTATTATAGAAACATTATTTTATATTTTTATATTAAATACTTTTTATTTTATTTTTATTTTTTTCGTAGGAGGAAAATTAAGCCTGTTTTTAGTTTTGTATTATGATACATAAATAATACATATAAAATTGTATAACTTTATTATATAAAAATAATTGTATATTTCTATATTGAATATAATTTCTTATTTTCCCCCCCTTTTTAAGAGTGTAATATAACCCATGTTCTTCAGGGTTTTAATGAGATTCAAGCTCTTCAGATTCCACAGTTATATTTTTTAATTATTATACTCAATATTACAGCATTGTACAACTAAAATGGTTTGAAATCTCACTACTACAAATAGCAATACTGTTATTCGTATAACATATCAAAGAAGTTTGCATGCATGCTGTGCATAATGTCTTCACTATTGAGTATATATTCATGCAGTTTTTTAATGTCCACATATTAATCAGTTGATTACCAAACTTGGCAGATATGATTCTGGAGATCATGTTGCTGTTTACCCCACAAATGATGCAGCGGTGGTCAACGGAATAGGAGAGAGACTTGGAGTAGATCTTGATACTGTAATCTCTCTCAAAAATCTGGATGGTATGTACTAATATCTGAAATTCATATTATATAATTAAAAAGTTAGAATATGTTTTTATGTATATTGTAACATGCTATGATTGCTAATAATGTTTCAACTCTGTAGAGGAATCCAATAAAAAGCACCCGTTCCCCTGTCCAACCACATACCGTACGGCACTGACTCATTACCTTGACATCAACAACATGCCTCGCACAAACGTGCTGTATGAGCTAGCGCAGTACGCCTCTGATCCGCAAGAACAAGAAAACATGCGCAAGATGGCATCTGCTTCACCTGAAGGAAAGGTTAGGATCACGTCATAATCACTGATGTATGGAAGCCCGTTTCTGCTACTGAATAAAAAATAAAAAAGGTAATTGCAACATGTTGTTTAACAATTCTGACTTTTTTTCTCGCAATTGCAAGTTTACATTTCGCAATTCTGCTTTTTTTCCTCAGAATTGTGAGATATAAACTCGCAGTTGCAAGTTATAAAGTCAGTATTGCGTGATATAAACTTGCAATTCTGAAATAAAGTTGCAATTCTCAGAAATAAAGTCCAAATCGCAAGATATTAGTTCTCAATTCGGACAGTTTTTCTCAGGATTGCACATTTATAGCTCTCAATTCTGACTTTATAACATGCAATTGCGAGTTTGTCTCACAACTCTTGAGAAAAAATTCAGAATTGTAAGGTAAACTGGCAATTGCAAAAAAAAAAAAAAAAAAAATCAGAATTGCAAGTTTATTTCTCGCAATTCTGACTTTATCATGCAATTCTGAAAAAAAAATCAATTGCGACTGAATTTGTATCTCACAATTCTGACTTTATGACTCGAAATTACGAGTTTATATCTCACTTTTCTATGAAAAAAAGTCCGAATTGCGAGTTTATATTATGCAATTTTGAGAAAAAAGTCAGAATTGGGAGTTTGTATTATGCAATTCTGAGGAAAAAGTCAGAATTGAGAGATCTAAACTCGCAATTGTGAGGAAAAAAAGTCTGAATCGTGAGATTAAAAGTTGCAATTTAATTTTTTTTTATTCAGTGGCAGAAACGGGCTTCCATACTGATGTAATAGTAGTCTATAGCAAAACTTGAAAATGTTTATTCACCATCTGATTGGTCCTTTAAAGGCTTTGTATCAGAGTTGGGTTTTGGATTCTGAGAGGAACATACTAGCTATTCTAGAGGATCTACCGTCCCTGAATCCTCCTATAGACCACCTGTGTGAGCTCCTTCCTCGACTTCAGGCTCGATACTATTCCATTGCCTCTTCCAGCAAGGTAAAACCTGCAGTTTTCGATATTATACCGTGAATAAAAAAATTTGAGGTTGACACAAGCTTTGTTCACCCTCATTTCAGGTCTATCCAACCTCTATCCACATCTGTGCTGTGGTGATAGAGTACACCACCAAGACAGAAAGAGTCTTCAAGGGTGTGGCCACAAACTGGCTTAAGAACAAAGAAGTGACCGATAACGGCCATAAGCTCACCGTTCCCATGTATGTTAGGAGATCCCAATTCCGCCTGCCATTCAAACCCAGTAACCCTATAATCATGATTGGGCCTGGTACTGGCATCGCCCCCTTCATGGGCTTCATCCGGGAGAGAGCATGGCAGAAGGAACAAGGTGAAGCTTGAACTTGCTTTGACACAGCTTGTGTATAATAATATAGCATAGGTATCTCACTCAGTTTTTGCTCTCTGTTGCAGGGAAGGAAGCTGGTGAGACGATACTGTACTTTGGTTGTCGCCATAAGAACGAGGACTTCTTGTATCAGCAGGAACTGGAGGAGTTTGAGAGGGCAGGTGTGCTGACACAGCTTAACGTTGCCTTTTCGAGAGACCAGGAGCACAAGGTGAGTGACATAGGGATGCACTGAAATTCAGATTCTGGCCAGTAACTAAATTATTTTCATGTTATGGCCGCCATTAAAGATAATAAAATGTTATACTATATTGGCTAAAGGAAATCTATAAAATTATTTGTTTGTATTGCATAATGGATATTCATTTTGAGATTTCCTAAATGTTATGATTAACAGTGTTAAATTATTAGTGTTTTAAAAAGATAACTTGTTGAAGTGTGTGGCAGATGACGGCAAAACTAATACAAATTAAAAATAGGAATTACACATTTTTAAATACATTTTTTTAAAAATCCAATATTGGTCACATACAGTGGGTACGGAAAGTATTCAGACCCCCTTCAATTTTTCACTCTTTGTTATATTGCAGCCATTTGCTAAAATCATTTAAGTAAATTTTTTTTCCTCATTAATGTACACACAGCACCACATATTGACAGAAAAACACAGAATTGTTGACATTTTTGCAGATTTATTAAAAAAGAAAAACTGAAATATCACATGGTCCTAAGTATTCAGACCCTTTGCTGTGACACTCATATATTTAACTCAGGTGCTGTCCATTTCTTCTGATCATCCTTGAGATGGTTCTACACCCTCATTTGAGTCCAGCTGTGTTTGATTATACTGATTGGACCTCAATACTTTCCGTACCCACTGTATATACGTGTAAACTTTGTGGACTATAAAAAGAAACACGTTTGCATTTGTTTTATCATTGTACGTATATTCTTAAGATTGTTTTGGAAGGATTCAGCAACCTATATTAACAGAAAACTGGAGTACATGATAGAAATTTGTGTATTTGATGCGTTTTTTCCCGCAATGACATTTTGGTGAGTAAAGAACAATGCATTATGCAGTTATACATTTTTTTTTAGGAAAATACAAATTTCTCACATTTTATAAATTACTTCACACAAACCTTTTGAAACCAATTTTAAAAGTGCTGAAAACGTCTCAGGTTACCTTTTATTTAGCTAGGATGGATTAAATTGAACAAAAGACATTTATGGTATTCCAAAAGATTTCCATTTCAAATAAATGCTGTTCTTTTGAACTATATTCATCAAAGAATATTGAAAAATAAATTTATTTTACAATAATATTAATGATTTCTGAAGGATCATGTGACACTGAAGACAGCTGCTGAAAATTCAGCTTTGCATCACAGGAATAAATTAATTTTTAAATTATATTAAAATAGAAAACTGTTATTTTAAATTATAATAATATTTCACAATATTAAATTTTTTACTGTAAATAAATGCAGCTTTTTTTCTTTCAAAAATTGTACTGTATTGAAAAAACAAGAAACAGATAAATATATTTATTTGCATCCAAATTTAAAGATGCACTGCATATTATTTGTTTATTTTTTTCCACTTATTCATCTTCCTAAACAACCAATATGACTGGTCTTCATTACCATAGTTTTCAGCGTTACCAGAAAAAGAGTTTTCACGATATTAAATATTTCCATTTTTAGTTTGGAACTGAAGAGGAATTCTGTGGACTGTGTTGTTTTTACAGATCTATGTGCAACATCTTCTGAAGAAAAACAAGGAGCAGTTGTGGAAGCTCATTCATTCAAATAATGCCCATATCTACGTTTGTGGGTAAGAACCAGAAGTTGCTTCTACCACAGATGAATAACATTCTGATGAAAACACAATCCGCACTAGGAGTCAACTGGCAGGATTTCAGTGGAACATTAAATAGCTTGAAATAATTATAGTGCTTCCATGTAATTCTGATTTTTCTAGCATAAAGTGGTCAATACTGCCATTCATCAGTATCATATTGTATCTTTAAAGACCACAGCATCTCTTTCCAGCAGCATATTTGCTTGCATATGTAATGAGAATATGTGTCCTTGCAGAGATGCACGTAACATGGCTCGGGATGTGCACACGGCCTTCTATGAGATTGCAGAGGAGGTGGGTGGCCTGACGCACACTCAAGCTGTGGACTATTTCAAGAAGCTGATGACCAAGGGCCGTTACTCGCAGGACGTTTGGAGCTAAGCTAATTGATAAACCAATGTTTACCACTTTACCTCAAGCCATAATTTCTCCAAAAGCTAGAGCTAAAACATTGAATTTGCCTGGACTGATTGGTTATATAATAGAGTTTTGATGAAAGATACTGCACTCCAACATCACACAAAAGCATGGTTTATCATTCCTCCTTCAGATGAGTTTAGGATATTCAACGTACTGCAACAGGAATCTGATTTGACTGCATTTGAACCCTAAGCAGCATTGGATGTTCATGTATACACAAATGTAGGTCAAGGATGCAAAATGCTTTTTTTTTTTTTTTTGAGTGAGGCCTTATAAAGCATATTCATATATAAATGTTGTCATATTCTTTCTATTGTTTTATCTCTGTGAAAAGACTGCAAGTATCACTTTGTGACGTACTGTAAAACTTTAGAGTTTGTTTTTGTGACATCCTACAATGTCTTACAGGAAATTAAATTTTTTTTGATCGTGATGTTTGTTCATTCTTATTTCCTGTTATTTCAAGATGTTCTGCCACTCTTTTTATGCATTATTTCACACTAATGTTAAGGAGCAGTGAATGAGCAATTATGCAATCAACATGACTCCCATCTTTGGGTGGAGTGTTACATTCTGTTTTTACCATTTTTTTTACATTTTAGCAAATGGTCAAGTGTTAATTGTCACAGAAATGTGTATTTTCCTAACATTTTAAAAGGTGCATTTATGACAAGAAAAGTAAGTTCTTCTCTTATTTTCTTAAGCTTTTCTTGACTGGTATGCCTTTTCTACTTATGATTATAGAATTGACTCCTCAATTCATCCCCCTAGTGAGCCAAAGCTGCAACTGCATAGCCCAGCATGGTGGTTTTAAAACAAGACAGCTTGCATTTGTGTAATTTTAAAACTTAATGCATTAATACTGCTTGGGAAGAGAAGTGTCATTGTAATATCAGATGTTTTGTGCAAAATTGTGATCCAAGTCATGCAATGTTTGACGATTAAAGAATATGCACAAACACTGTCTCGCCTCAAAATGTGTTTGTATGGACATGTTTAAAAAATACTGCAGTGTATAAAATGGACAAAGAATTTGTTAAAAAATGAATCCATTTTTAATTGAAGGTACAAAATGTTCTTAAGTAAAACAGCAACTGTATAATATTAAAAACAAGTTAAACATCACTGCACATCTGGAGCTGTTTGAACTCTAGGAACGAGACATGAGGTATCAGAAGATACCTGCAGATAAAGCATCAAATCTCTAGGATGACAATGACTCCGGGGCTCCAGGAGGAGTTGTGGGAAAGGCAGGCACTCCAGTCTCTGACTGTGAGATCAGAGGTGTGAATGGCACTCCTGGCTGAGGTAGTTTAGTGAAGGGCTGACCTGTCAGGTTGACTGGAGGCCTGAACTGATGCTGAGCATATGGGGACATTGGCATCCACGGGCTGCCGTTGTGATGGCTGTGACCATGATGATGTCCATGGCCGTGTCCATGTCCATGATTGTGACCAATGCCGACTCCAGCGTAAGGTGAAGTAAATGTGTATTGCTGTTGAGGATACAGTGAGACAGGCCAACCATCGACTGTGTTGGGCAGGCTTCCTATAACTTGACCATTGGCATTTACTGGAGCATAGGCCTGGACAGGGTACGACCCTGGTGGAGCGTCTCTGGAATTACAAATATATGTAAGTTCTTCTCTTATTTTCTTATCAGTTTCTTGACTGGTATGCCTTTTCCACTGATTTCTACTTAAGATTATAGAACGGACTCCTCAATTCATCCCCCTAGTGCGACAAAGCTGCAACTGCATTAAAATGCCCAGCATTGTGGTTTTAAAATGAGACAAGCTTGCATTTGTTTGTTTTTAAATCTTAATGCATTCAACTTAATTGGGAAAAGAAATGTCATTATGATCTCACAAACACTGTCGGGTGTTTTAAAGTCAGAAAATATACTGAGAAAAACCCAAACATGTTTTGGTTAAAGGGATAGTGCACCCAAAAATGAAAATTCTGTCATCATTTACTCACCCTCATGTCTTTTCAAAGTTGTGTGACTTTCATCTTCTGAAGAACGTGAAAGAAGATATTCTGAAGAATGTTGGGAACCAAACAGTTTCTGTTCCCATTGACTTTCATTGCGAATTTTGACCATCAATTTTGTCAAAATATGACAGAGTTTTCACTTTTGGGTGAACTTTCTGTTTAAGACTGCTTTAAAGACCTGCATAAATAAAATTAATAACCTCCTTAAAGAACCTACTGACACAATCTTAAAATAAATGTTTCTCAGATTCTTTTACTTAAACAGGCTGTGGCACACATTCAACAAAGACATAATGCTTAAAAGATACCAACAATGCCTAAAAAAGGTTGAAATGCATCACTTTACTACTGCTAGCTGCTCAAAATGAGGAAGATATCTGCACTCTAACAACCTTCTACACACTGCAATATGAATACCGTAAAGTAAACAACAGGGTGACCATATGTAATTGTGGCATTGATCACTCACGTGAGGTCAAGTGGCTTTTTGCGCTCTTCGGTCGATGCAGGAATGAACTGGACACCAGTTATATGCTTTAGCAAGCGAAAAGGGAACTTCTTCTCCAAGACGGAAGCTCTAGATTCTGACATTTCTAATAATGAAAACCATCCTACTCCATCTAAAAGTACTAAGTTAAGGAATAGTATAAAAATACACTATACACTGATTGCACTTCATTATAGGTTTGTCAGCTTTACAATCCAGGATTGCCGTATGAAAATGAAAAAAGTCTGAAGTATTCTATACATTTAAGATTGAGGATACTTAACATTCCTGTAATGATGGCCAGGACGTTGCAAAGGAAAAAAGTGTTTGGAAAGAACAGGGTTAGAATTATTAGAATAATCCAGGGTAGAGATGCAGTAGGCACACTGACGCCCATAATATACGCCTTCCGCATAACAGAATTGATGGTCATCATTCCCAGGACAGACAGGGCTAATGGGATGAGCCCATTTACTGAGCTCCTACTGGACGGGGAGAACAGCAGTGACTCCAGCAGCACATGTAGGAGTCCACAGATGGACGACAGCAGCAGTGACCGGTAGAGGAATCTGACCGTTCCGATTCCTCGCTCCAGCCCGCTACAGGGAAACGCCATCAGGATGGCACTTAGGAACAAAAGCGTCATATTCTTGTGGTAGAGGAAATAGGTGAAGAGTTTGTAGACTGTGAAGAGAGGGAACAAAAATTAAGTAACACAAAAAATGAACAAAAAAGGTATTTAGGGTATATTTATTTATTTTAATATATGATAACATAATATAGCAAACACAGTGCGCTACCTAATCCAGTAAACATTACAAAATTTGATCCGAAGCAAAAAACTTATTTGGAAAAACTGACAAACAAAGGTAAGACTAAGTACTTAAGGTCTACAGTCAAAGCATTGTAAATGACATAAAATAAAAATGATGGATAAGTAGGAAAATATTAATTTAAAGATGTTGATTATGTACATAGAAACAGCATATTTGTAATTTATTGCAAAATATGTATATATACACATATTTATGTAGTTTAGAGCATAGGGAGGTTGACTTGATTATACGCTTTATAGGAGTGGGCGGGAACTAAAGAGTTGTTCTGGCGGGATTTGCTTGACTGTTGTTTCCAAACAGGGCTGCGTTCAGCCCCGACAAAACGGTGCAAAACATTTTTTAAACGGAAACGATGGTGCATTGAACACCCTGTTCTGATGACGCAAGAGTTGCAACTATGGCAGCTGAGAAGGCCATTGTTTGTGCTCTTTTTGAAGAATTTTCGGAACCTGATGAAATCGGTATAAATACGTGTTTAATGCTGCAAAATACGCTCGATGTTACAGTCACTGCCCTTGCCCTCCAGAATAAAAGAACATCCCAATCAAGTGAAGGGATCTGTGGTTCCAAATTATTGTGATCCAACGTTTTTCAGGATGAAAAGACAAACAGGTGAAGGGTAATCCACTTCTTACCTCCGAGACTGTGTTATGATCTATATGACTGTATTACTTTTATTGTGAGTATTAGGCTTATCATTATTGCTGATCACTGTTGTTGTGCTATGATATAGTAATATTTACCATAATTTAATCAGAGGAGTAGGCTTAGGCTATAGAAAAGTTTATGAAAGTGTCACTCCATAATACAATAGCAAAATATATAAATATGTATAGTATTTTTTTGTTACGTTAATCAGTGTCTAGCACACCTTCCTAAGGAAAGGATGGACCAGAAGTCATTGCAATTACTAAATGATATTTGGACAGACTTAAAGAAGTTCCAGATTTATACTTGTGCCCTTATTATTTCAGTTATTTTGCCTTTAATGTAAATAAACATGTGCAAACAATATACTTGCTCTTGTGAAATTATTTGGATGTTATTTACATTGTGCAGCTGTCTCTTTAATACCGTGTGGTTTACATATATGTTGGTGCTGATTGGGCTGACATTTCTGACACACCCACCAAACAAGAGAAAACGCATCTCAAACCCCGTTGCACACCGTTTCCAGGAAACATGTCGTTAAACCCGGAAACCGTAGCAAATGTTGCGCAAACGGTTTGAGCTTGAACGTGCCCCAGGGTTCTCACCCCCAAACTCACGTCATTGGTCGATGCTGCCCGAGACCCACCTCCAGTTTTTCCGATTGGCTAACATACATGAAAGAGGCGGGGTAAACCGTAGGGCTCTTTATATAAATAACCAATAAACTTCAATTGCGGGTGGTACTGGAGGCGGGACATTCTCATTCTAGCGCTTTATTGCTCAAAAACATGTCAACAATAGTGTCGGTCCGTTTTCCCAAAAAGAGACTTCATGTAAATTTAAATGTACTAAAGTGAATTCTGTCAAAGTTTAGGAGTATATTAGCATAGCTGGCACCAGAGATAAAAGACATGGACGGCAAACCACAAAACTCTAATTTTGAGGTATTTAAGGCACGTTCTGCCCAACATACATTCATTAAGACAGTAGTTGTGGGTCACAGACTACATCAGTCTACAAAATGCAATAAGTTCAACTTATTTTTGTGCCTTGTAGAAGGAAAAAGGGAGCTGAGGGAGTTATTTGTAACTTATAACTCTTACCATGGCCGCTGATGACAGCACTGGACTCCAGGCTGAAAAAGTGCTCTGAAATATCGAAGTAATATGGGATGACAGTGAAACCTTCAGTTATTTTGCCTTTAATGTAAATAAACATGTGCAAACAATATACTTGCTCTTGTGAAATTATTTGGATGTTATTTACATTGTGCAGCTGTCTCTTTAATACCGTGTGGTTTACATATATGTTGGTGCTGATTGGGCTGACATTTCTGACACACCCACCAAACAAGAGAAAACGCATCTCAAACCCCGTTGCACACCGTTTCCAGGAAACATGTCGTTAAACCCGGAAACCGTAGCAAATGTTGCGCAAACGGTTTGAGCTTGAACGTGCCCCAGGGTTCTCACCCCCAAACTCACGTCATTGGTCGATGCTGCCCGAGACCCACCTCCAGTTTTTCCGATTGGCTAACATACATGAAAGAGGCGGGGTAAACCGTAGGGCTCTTTATATAAATAACCAATAAACTTCAATTGCGGGTGGTACTGGAGGCGGGACATTCTCATTCTAGCGCTTTATTGCTCAAAAACATGTCAACAATAGTGTCGGTCCGTTTTCCCAAAAAGAGACTTCATGTAAATTTAAATGTACTAAAGTGAATTCTGTCAAAGTTTAGGAGTATATTAGCATAGCTGGCACCAGAGATAAAAGACATGGACGGCAAACCACAAAACTCTAATTTTGAGGTATTTAAGGCACGTTCTGCCCAACATACATTCATTAAGACAGTAGTTGTGGGTCACAGACTACATCAGTCTACAAAATGCAATAAGTTCAACTTATTTTTGTGCCTTGTAGAAGGAAAAAGGGAGCTGAGGGAGTTATTTGTAACTTATAACTCTTACCATGGCCGCTGATGACAGCACTGGACTCCAGGCTGAAAAAGTGCTCTGAAATATCGAAGTAATATGGGATGACAGTGAAACCACATGATAGCACGATCACAATCACTACCCCACAGGTCAACTCTATATCCGGTGCAAAATCTGCAAACGTCTTCTTCCAGTTTTTCAAAGTACTATGCATTTTCAGGATGGAGAATGTGCATCATTTACAAGACACCCTTAAAGAACAATTATTTACTGAGATATCTCTTTCGTGTTTTAGATTGCAGTTCCCAGCACTTGAACCGCAACTTCCGCGTTAAAGGAAAGGTTAATCAAGGGGATAAAAATGCGCAGCCTTTGCGCAGATATGTGCAGACTCTTAATTGTTCAGCCTCAGACGGGTCTCGTATCATGCGCATATTACTTAAAACAGAGCGCCTAAAATAACTGTCAGCGAAATTTCGCTAATATAATATACCTAATATTTTAAGTGGTCACTTAAAAATCAAATAAATCGTCCTCTTTTTGTACTGAACCTCACAAAGTGCTTTCAGAATCAGAATGAGAATTATTTCCAACAAGTATGCTTGCAAGTAAGCTTCTTAGTGAAGCTTCCAGTAAACAGAAAACATAATGAGCTATTTGAGATATTCTGTGTGTTCTGCTTATTAGGAAACACCAGATCCAAATTAGGTTAAATTATGAACCAATATGAATTAAAATGGCATTATTCATTTTCATACAGATTATAAACCTAAACGTTATTTGCATATTCACTCTAATGTAGGCTAATATGACTCACTCATACGTACAGTAAATCTGTTTGATGGGAAACAAATTAATGTGATGACTAATGCTTCTTGAAATCAGTTGGGCCTGTAATATCCTATTGTTTCTCTCATTTGGACTTAAATCTAATATTGGGGAATTGGCTAATTGTCCATATCGTCACACATTTTATCGCTGTGTAATAAGCGAAAAGGGAATGTACCCTCCCCTGTGGGTCAAATGAGGATTTGGGGTTGATACCCTGTTAAAAAAACAGCATATTCTGGTTAGGTATGTTTTGACGCTGGGATGCTGGTTTATGCTGACCCTTTGCTGGTTTAAACTGGTCCTTTGCTGGTTTAAGCTGGTCCTTTGCTGGTTTATGCTGGTCCTTTTGCTGGTTTAAGCTGGTCCTTTGCTGGTTTATGATGGTCCTTTTGCTGGTTTATGCTGGTCACGTGCTAGCAAAGGACCAGCATAAACCAGCAAAGGACCAGCATAAACCAGCATCCCAGCGTCAAAACATACCTAACCAGCATATGCTGTTTTTTTCAACAGGGTAGGAAGAAGAGAATAACAATAGACAGAGATTACTGAGAGATACAGTATTATTGTTACAAAATAAATACATATCAAATGGGTTTAAACCTACACAGATTAAATCTTGCTCTTATGGATACAGGTAAACAGCCAAAAACAAAACATGGGGTAGTTGAGGTTAGGTGCAAACCCCACCCGCTCTTTGTTCAATAAAAGACAGGTGTACAAAGTCATGAGTATGATGCAGGTATGGGTGGAACAACTTAGACTTACGCAAAACCCAAAGGGATTATTACATTCCATTGATATAAAAGCTCTGTCTGTTAAAAGCAGTTTGACCTGTTAGTCCATGAAACTTATTTACAAGAGATAAATGAAACAGTAGCCACAGCAAAATAACTATGTAAAAGTATACAAAAGTGTTTGAATCTATTGCTTATTTCTCAAAAACATTTATTTTAATTTGACTTCATTTAAAAATCACTTAAAATAATCAAGCAATTTTGTTCTGCAGTTCTACGTAGCTCTAAATTTAACCCAATATGTTTGAAATGTGCATAAAATATAAGGCTGTATACTGAAAAATAGGATTATTATAATGATTTATTGAATTACAGTTAACATTTAGCTTTGCTAGAGGGGAAGCACACTTCCTGTGCTTTGGAGGCTGGGTGTGTGTTGAAGATTTGAGTTAAGGTGGGTGGTGCACACATAACTCAGTCTTCACTGATACATTTCACAACATAGTCAAACCTGAGAGTCTTTTCTCAGTTACTAAGAAACTTTTGTCTGTCTTAGATTTTTCTGAAGTCTGGAAGGACACATTTTGGTCAGCGAGTTCCTGTTATTCTGTGGGAAACCAGGCTTGCAGCTGTCAACAGAGACACATTTTTGTGTGAGAGAAGAATATATCCATGGTTTGGTGTGTCGGTACAGATCATGATGTGAAGCACAGCAGGTTGTCTATGCAAGTGTCTACAAGGTATGTGGTGTAAAATTAATTAATATTAATAAATACATATTTACTGTTCATTTTATGATTAAAATGTAGCAATGTGTTGAAAAATACCTTTGTACTGTGCAAATTTACATTTTATTATCTGTTGGTTTGGTAATGTTTTATGGATTGTTTCATGTTATTTACATCAATTTATTTTATATTATTTATTGTTAATTACAGGGGTAGGCAGTACATTTTTTATTCAGTTATACATTAAAACTAAATTGTTATATAAATGAATTATATACTGAAACAATACTTTCATTTGTAAGTTATGTAATGAGAGACTATTAAACCACAGGTACCTTATCAAATAATCAAAATACTGTCTAATTTAGAATAGCTTATATATGATATTCAATATATACTACTTATCTGAAAGAAATTAAGATCTTTATCTAGCAAGGACAAATTAAACTGATCAAAATGGACATTTATGTTAATATTCTATTCTGTTCTTTAAAACTTTATATTTATTTATGATTCCTAAAAATTTATTTTGGTTTCCACAAAAATATTAAGCAGAACAACTGTTTTCAACTGATAACAATAAAAACATTTTTTTTACTTGAGCACCAAACCAGAATATTAGAATGATTTCTGAAGGATCATGTGACACTGAAGACTGGAGTAGTGCTGAAAATATACATTTTAAAATAGATGAAAATACAGTTAAAACAGCTATTTTGAATTGTAATAATATTTCACAATATTACTGTTTTTAATGTATTTTTGAGCAGAAGAGAATTTCAAAAACATTTCCAAGTCTTACCAACCCACGTTTACATTACATTTATGCATTTGCTAGCACCGTGCTCTACAGTTTGAGTTACAGGAGGGCTAATTTAGCTATTCATTACTATACTTTTTTCTTCTTAATGCCTGATCTCTGATAACATTTACTTTTACATTAGATTAAAATTTTACATTAGATCAGGTCAGTTGCATTTGTTAGAAATACACACCCACCATGGATTTTCCATTGAAAGCTCTTGACAAACCAGACTAAGGGTTAAACAAATGTTTGTGAACATTCTGTAAGTTCAGCCTTAGGTATTTATGAAATGTATTAAGTTAGGTATTAAGTTAGCCATATTGAAGTAACTGAATGAAATGTGAATTGAGTTGTACCAGGAAATGGATGTGTTTGAAACTTCATGAACTTAATTGTGTTACCTGTCCCAGTCTTTTGTTTAGGAGCCACGTCATGGCCAGTGTATTGACTTAAAGTGTCAATCGCTACAGTTACATTTACATCACAACAGTTAAAATTCACAAAATGTAATACTTATTACTTTGAAACTTTTGAAGTCATTTTTTTGTGTCTGTTGCAAAGTGAGTGAGTTTTTTGTGTATCTTTTAGAGCAATGGCGACCAAACGATTGAATAGATGGAGTTTTGGATGCTGGAGACATCTGGATTATGTATTTTTCCTGCTCCTGCTCCTACTGTGCCACCCAGGTGAGGTCTGATGCTTGTATAAGACACACCTGTGATCATCATACAGCTCTACTTAATTTTAGGTATTGTCCTCCTGTTTGCTCACCTATTATGCCACAATAATACCCTACATTTGAGTTTATAGAACAAAGCTAGATGATGATGAAATATAACGTCTGTTTGCACAATGTAGTAACATTACACAATGGCTTGTGCAACTTCTAATGGCGATCAATAGATCTTCAATATCCGGTATTTTGCATTTGGACATATGCAACCCAAAAGACTTCTATTGAAAATATCTAATTTATCAAATTTTGTAGAGTTTTTGCATGACTAATTATGTAATATATTATATGATGAGCTGCATGAACTTCACAAGTTTGTGTAAAACAAGATGATCATGATCCAGAATGATCCAAAGAGCATTTTTGTACAAATTTTGTTCACATGTTCACAAATATGTCCAGTGACCTGGAAACAGTGCCGAATTTTAAATATTTTTTATTTATGTTACATCATGATGTTTTTTAAGCCTAACATTTTCAGTTTATTTGCAGATTTTGAATCCCAGATTTTGTCCTCTTTTTTTTTTTTTTTACTTTAATTGTATGTTAACATATTTCCCATATTCATTGTATGTAGGGCATATATGGGCCATTCTACAGAATTGGTACAAACTGCTGTCCCACAACCAAAAAACACATTTAAAAAGCATTTAATTAGTCAAATCTTAGATGTTTACTTAGATCCTTCTATTATCTATTGAAACCCACAATAGTATTTAAAATCTCAGTAAGCTTAATATATATAAAAATCATAATTTATTGGGTACTTTCAATTGGGAGGTGGCTGTCCCGAACCCTAACCCCTAAATTTCAACTTATGAAAATTATATTGAAATAATTTTTGTATTTTTTTCCATTGTTGTTTTTAAAAGTATCTTTTTGATTCTTTTAAAAAGTGAAGTAAAAAAAATTTGAATTTTATATTTTCTCTGTAAATTATGAAACTTTATGTAAAAAAATGTGTCCCCCATTTTTCATGTCACTACCAAAACAGTGTATGTTTTAGAGACTGATTTTAACTACACCCCTAAATTTATGATCAGGAAATATTCCTTTGTCTCCCTCTCTCATAGCTACAAGGTGTGAGTAGATAGGTCTCATCATTTTGAGGTAAATGTGTTCAAAAGTCTGAAAAATCTATGTGTAACTTTAAGGAATGTCACTACCGAACACCTTTTTTCTGCAATTAAGCAAACTTTTTTGGGAGTTATTCCATAACATTTAGTTTTTATATGTGTACCATTGTTCAGAACTGTGCTAGCTAACCATGTGCTGATTAGCATCTTTAAGTTAGGTTCAAAAGTATCTAAAATTGTCACTACCGAAACATTTGGTGGAGTTTCGGTAGTGACATCTTTGTTTTTTTTGGGAGTTATCCCATAGAATTGTAACTACCGAAACAGTCACGACCGAAACATGTCATCATTGTTTCGGTAGTGACAAAAGGGAACACATAATCCTCATATTTGGGGGAAATAAACAAAATTTTAGTACAGTTATGCAATTGTTTTGGTATTTTAGTATGTGAGTTAAAATTCTGTAATGTGATGTGGTCGCTACCAAAGCCTTACTGTCACTACTGAAAATGTGCAGTCACTACCGAAACATGGGATGTTTTGTCAAAAATAAAGTATACTGAATTATCAACTAAGACGTTATGATAGTTTTTGGTTCAGTGTATATTCAAACTAATGAATCCTTAACTTTGAAATCAGTATGATCAACTTTTTGCCTTTTACAAAGAAAAATTGGATTTGGAATACAACAAATCTCATAAATTACCCTTGAAATATTGTTAAAAATGTAATTGTTATTGATTTACCTCTGGAATTTTTTTTATAAAATAGCAAAAACATTTATTTACAATGTAGATGTAAGCAAAATCTTAATAGGTCAATATAACCCTTCTAATTAAATTATTATTACTGTGTTTCGATAGTGACAAATTTGGGGAGAGGACAAATATTCCAAAACTTTCTGAAAATACAATATGAGAATTAACTGCTCAATTACTAGAAATACATACACATTTTTTTTGGAAAAAGACAAATTTTTTTCAAGACGTTTCCAACTCTGACTTTGGACCAAATCTGTAGAATGGCCCATATATGAGCAGTAATGTGTTCAGACTATGTGTATTTGTCTGTATGTCTCTCCTAGTGTAAAGAAGAACATCTCAGAAATATTGTTCAGTATTCCTGTAATAGCGTATCTGAGTCACGTAAAACATGGGCTGTGATCACTTTGAAACACAATAGCTTAACTGAACCAACCATACAAATACAGCTCTGACAACCGGCTGGACATGTTTTAGTCTGGAACAAAACAAAAGCCAATTTTTGCTAATGCTTATGAATCAGCTAAATGGGCAGACAAAAAGAAAGAGATAGAGATGGATAAAGAGAGGAGCCCTTCATTACAAAAGCATGAAGTGAAAAAATAAATAAACCACTGAGAGTGATAAGATTCTTTGACAGACAAAAGAATTCATAAATAAAGTTTCCAATACCTGTAAAAGGGTTGGAAAATGTAATTAATTTACTTGTTTGTTTTTGTTGTTTATTGAAATTTTGATTCAAAATGAATTCAAAATTACGAATAAGATATGGACCAAATTACATTGTCTAATTTCTCATACCATGTTGCATGTTGTGATGATACATTTGATGTGATTGAATCATTTCTGTAATTTTTTTCATATAGTAATATCGAGCACAACAAGTGGATTTACATCCACCACAGAAACCACATATTCAACAACAGTGACTGGAGGAACCACAGCTACCGATACCACAGCACATTTATCTACTACCCAAAGTCCCGGTAGCTCATCAACAGTGCCATTAACAACAAGCTCATCTACCGTTCTGAATACAGCAACAACAATGGAAACCACAGCCACATCTTCTTACATAAGCACAGCGAGCCCAGCAATAACACTTACGACGAAATCACACAGCACTGAGAGTCAGACAACTGAAACAACGCCACACACATTCACTGAGAACACCACAATCTCTACATCCACTGGAAACACGACTTTTGCTGAATCAACCACAATCTCTACATCCACTGGAAACACGACTTCTTCTCAAACAACCCCAGTCTTCAGAACCACTGAAAACGTGACTTTTTCTGAAACAACCACAAACTTCACAACATTTACAGCAACAGTAAGTACTACAAATACAACATTATTACAAAAAAGCACTATTTACATCCTACAATATGTTATCAGGCACCATATTAATAGACTCATTACAATATCATCTTCAGCCCGAACCATCATCCTCCGCAAATATAACTGATACAACACCAACTGTTAACCAAACATTAACATCGACCGGTAAGAGATACAGTGTAAAGATCTCTGTGTGTACCACAGTTTACACTTTCTATCATGTTCATTTTTACATTTTACCCCCTTTATCTAATATTCATTTGTTCTTGTCTAGCTACAGAACCCACACCTTGTGACTGCAAGAATGGTAAGTATTACAACTTTAGCACACATAATGGCCCGATTTTCTGTTAAATGGAAGGAATACAATGCATAACTGACTCTTTGGTTTTTATTAGCATATTACTGGATGATCGTTGAGGTAGCAAGAACACCTGAAATTAAACCAACACTGATCAAAGAATGGGTAAGTTCAGGAATGATACTCATGTGATATTGAGAATATTTGATTTCATTTTATAATATAATATAGATATAAAATATTATAGAAAACATATTAAAATGTAAATCTGTAGGTTGTATGTAAATTATAGATTATCTAAGATTTTGTTATATCATGTATATTTTTGTTCATTATTAGATATTATTTTGTTAGATATATTTTTGTATTTTAATGTACAACATAATATTTTTTACATAATATTAAATATAACAACATTTTACACTATAATATTTTTAATAATGAGAGTTAACAGCTGAAGGATATATAAAACAAATACAGTGTCTAGGAAAATATGGAAAAGCACTTTACAGTTTTCTGTCATTCTTTGAAAAGCAGTAATTTAACTCAATCATCTGAAATGTGTTTTCCAGCTTAAAGTGCTTTACAGAAGCAAACTAAATTCATGTGCAGTTTCCATACAGACGGTATTGGAGGAGATCTCTGACGTCAGAATAATAGCAACTGTGCCTACCACAACTACCAGCATTAGGTACAGTACACTATAGGGACCTTTTCTCATGAATAAATACAGACAAATGTTCTCACTTTAGGCCCTTTAGGCATGCCAGTACTTTCAAACTGAATAATATTTGTGTGTTATGTAATCTGTCTTCGTTCTTGAGCTTTAAATAAAAGTATTAATTTTATCATCATGCATCAATGGCTGTTTATTCCTAAAGTGAATTCCTTCATTTAATAGGGGATGTTTAAAGCGCTTTCAGTTGCCATTATTTTTCTGACCTCAATTTACACAAAGGGTGAATCCACTGTCAGCAGGGCTTACTGTGCTTCGAAAAGCTGTGTAATAAATTAACCTGGTCTTCTTTCTGTTCTGCAGTACAAAGAAACCCAGGCTTAAAGTAAGTGCACATTCAGTTGTCATTGCAGGCAGCACATTTTGGTATTTCATCAGATTTCATATAATAAGCATACACAACGTTTGCTTTTATTTCCCACTATTAGGATGTGGAGGTCACATGCGATCCTAAAAATAGTACACAGTCAGTATCAAATGCTGCTCTCATACATAGCAAACATATTCAAGCAATAGATCAAATGACTGTACTGCTGTAAGCTTCTCTAACATCATTTCGGTTCTTTCTGACAGGAATGCACAATGCAGTATTCTTCTGCAGCTGAGTGCACCTGCCAATGTTTGCTGCATTAGAGACGCTGTGATGATGAACTCGGAAAGTGACAATGTCAGTGTGGTGGGACAAATAGAAAGAGTGGGTTAGTAAAATTCTCCTAATTCTTGTCTTTTAATAATAATAAAATAAATGAATAAATAATAATAGTACTAGTATCAACAAATAATAATAATAAAAAAAAGCTTTTACACATTTTATTATGTTTTTACATAGAATAAAAGCATTGTGTGTACATTTAGATTTTTTCATCTTGTTGGTTTTGTTTTAAAATGTTGACGTGAACTGCAATTTCCACCAGATACAGTGCTAAAAGGTTTCACAAAATTGTGCTATTTCCTACTAAAATACAAATAAATTGTACGGTTTTAATGTCATATAATCTTTCTAAAAGCTGTATTTGAGTGGAATGGATATGTTTTTGCACAGGTGTGTGTGCAGGTAACATAACACAGATCTCAGATGGACAATATGACAAATGCAATCAGACAGTCAAAGTTGATGAATGTAGTGCAAAACCACAGAACATCTCATGGTAAGTTTAGACTCAAACTGGAAAAGGATGGTGTAATTTAAATTATTCATTTTATAGTGGTGTTCTTTATTTCCAGTCTCATTTCTTGTCTTTTTTTAATTTTGTAGTGGAAACAGTACAAATGTGATCTTTACACTGGATTCTCAGGATAGCTGCACTATAAGTCGTAAGGCTTCTGTTATCCTCTTTAACAAAACATTACATTTCATCACTCAGAAATGCGACATACTTTAAAGACCTTTCTGGCTCATACTTCAAAAGATGAACAACTAGACATTTATAGTCAATGTGTTATGATTTATTATGTTTTCTCTTGTTTTCCCTAAAGCAATGCCAACGTGTTATTGTTCTTCACACTGCAATAGCTCAAGTAAGACAAATTGATCATGTATGTCTGTAGTCAATGCTTCAAATATAAATACACCTGAAGGGTAAATCATAAGGTCCAAGTTTATATTTACACTTTTTTCCTTTATTTTAGATTTGTTCTATTACAGCTTTAACATTGAACTGATTACGATTACTATAATCAACAACCGTGATACCCTAGTAAGTAACATGTATTGAAGTAAGATGTCTGAATGTTAATTTATAATCAGTCTATGAGTTACATAATATTTTGTTATAGTACTACTGATCCATATATTGCTGTTGTTATTTGCCTACAGGTTCCTTCTATGTTGAATTACTCAGAATGCACAAACACATCGTAAGTTAGACAATTCTTACTGTATCTTTTTTTCCTTTCAAATAAAAATGTATTTATAAACATTTATTTGCCAGACAAATAAATCTAAAGCAATTTATAATGCATTCATTTTACCATTGTACGTGTGTTCCCTGAAAATCGAACCCATGACTTTAGTGTGTCTAGCACAATACTCTACCAGCTGCACAAAAGAAACTACTGAATAACACTCCTCTTTCTCTTCTCCATTTTAGATCTGCTTGTAACATTACGCAGACTTTCATAAGTTACAATCCGGTAAGATGTCTTGATGTCAGTCATGAAAGAAAGAGATGTTTTTCAGTCCTAGAATGTTTCAGATCTTCTAAATATTTGATTCCTGCAGGACTCAAGAGTGATTTGTAAAAACACGAAAGAGTCCAATGGGTACGTGAAAGGGAGTCTCGTTGCAGCATAATGTTTTGGTAAACGTGGTTTTAAAGTTGCTGGGTGGTTAATGCACTGCTCCTTCCTGTCCAGATCACTCTTTTGTGATGGTATAGTGAAACTAGACACAGCCATGGACTTGTGTGATATTCGCACGGCTCTAGAGGTCATCTTTAAACCTCAGAAAGACTTGATCTTTGATGGTGTTGTGAGCAGAGTGGGTAAGTGTCTTCTGTTAACAATACATATATATCTGATATCTGAATATATCTGATGATATGATTATGTTGATTTTCAGCTATCTGCTATGACCCTTCTTTGAAACCTTTGAACCAAACATTCACATGGGGGCCATCTTGGAGTGCAAATTTCAGTTCTGAAGGCTTCTGCATGGAGTCAAACTTTAATGATTACTGGTTAGTAGAGCTATTTGTGTCATATATGTCAATTTATGTATAGAGTTTGTGTTCATAGGTAATGTATCCCCAACGCACATATACATGGAATATACTGTATGTGTGGATGTTTACAGTATAATGTAAAACATGCATTTTATTTTTATTTAGTTGATTTATTATTCGTTTCACAGCTCAAACGGTACTATAGTCATTCCCCTGAATGGCAGCTGTAGTTCATCGACCACATTCCAAAACAGTACCACGACTCCTCCATCTTTCACAAGTACCTCGCTCTCAAACACAACCACTTCTATAAATTCTATTTATATAGTAAATCTCTATATATAATTTTTTTCTCTCTCGTTTTTCTAATGGTATAGTGTCCACGGCCACATCAGGGACATTAGATGCTGAAGGATTGCTGAAGTTGAGTGCAAATGCCTCGTCTTTAAACGCCACTCAGGTGGAGCAGATTTTATCACAGCTAGAGTCACTCCTCTCTGGGCCCAACGTCAGCCTGGCTCTGGCAAACACCTCTGTCAATATTATCAACAACCTCCTTGATGTTCCTGTGGCTGTAATGACTCCTTTCTCAAAGAGGTGAGACACACTCATCTGTGGCCGGGTTTATTACTGTTTTGTCCCATTTATCATCATATAGTAGTAAAATAATTGAGTCAAGCCTTATAATGTCAACCTGGAAAGTACATTTACCTAAATTAAACTTAACTGAACATACGATTTAGAAATAAATATTGTCTGATATACTGTAGACACTCAAGCTGTTTGCCTATGGTTCTTAGGGCTATTGGGGTTGTGGACACAGTGGGTCTTAAACTGGTTGTATCTGGGACAAGTCAGTCAATACTTTCACGGTCACTGGCTCTGGCAGTGAAGAAAGTCGACGGGACCAACTTTCAGGAGACGTCCTTCTCCCTAATCGAAACATCTAGGGTGCAGGTAACATCTCCATCATTAATTCTGATTCATCTTACAGACTATAGATAATGGAAATACTGCTGTTTTAAAAAAAAAAAACAGTGTAGAATAAAGTAAAAAACACAGATAAATAGCAGATTATTTTACTTAAATGTGGTTGCTTGAAATAAAATCTTGAAATATAGTAAAAAAGTACTATTTAGAAATATTATTACAATTTAAAATAACAGTTTTCTATGTGAATACATTGTAAAATGTAATTTATTCCTGTGGTTATATTAGAATGATTTCTGAAGGATCATGTGACACTGAAGACTGGAGTATTGATGCTGAAAATTCAGCTTTGATTACAGCAATATATAACAATTTACAATATATTCGCATAGAAAACAGCAATTTTAAATTTTGATAATATTTCTGTTTTTACTGTACTTTGTGAGCACATAAATTATATAAAATATATATTTTTATATCACTTTATGTAATATTTATCATATCCATATATAGTACATTAATAAAGTGGTGATACATGATGATGAGTAAAATGGGTTTTATAGGTCCGAAGTAGCTGATTTGGTTCTGCTTGTGTTTGGCATCATAGATTAAAAGTAACCCCAGCATGGAGACAGAAGACATCATGGTTCAGGTTCGGTCCACTCCTCTGGGTTCAGTCATCCTCCCAGCATTCCTCACACAGAACCTCACGGCAGAACAGCAGCGGCTTGCCTCCAGAGTCCAGTTCAACTTCTTCCAGAATAGCACCTTCTTCCAGGTCTGATACCGAGCACTGCTTTTGATTCAAATTAGTTCGATTTGTATTAAGATGACTGCTACATATTTGAAATAGCTGAATGGTGTAATGTGAACTGATATTATCTAGCTAGCACATCTCAAAATAATATACAGTATGCTTGTATTGTGTTAAAAGCTTTAGTATAATTCATGTGAATCTGATCAGAGCCACAAGTATCTCTGAACTCTTTTTTTATATATCTATTTAGGACAAAAATCTGAATAGACGTAAACTAAACAGCGGGATTGTGGGTAGCAGTGTGGCTAACCTGAGCATATCTGGTCTCCAGAAGGAAGTGCTGATAACCCTGCGAAACACAGGGCCCATTCCGGTCAATATGAATAGCATTAATATCACAACAAACAAACAAACACAATAACAGATTTGTACTTCAATTCAGTGCTGCTTTCTTGTCTTACTCTCTTTTTATTCCTCCACAGGCTAAATATGTAGCTTCCTGTGTATTCTGGGACTTTGGTTTAAATGGTATAAATTCTTTTAATGTTCCCTTCATTAACTGATAGACTTTTTGTTTTGTTTTTTGTGGTTGAATTGTGCATTTTAACCAATGGTTATTGATTCACAGATGGCTCGGGCGGCTGGAATTCTTCTGGGTGCCGTGTGCTTAATTCTTCTGCTGAAGAAACTCAATGTGCCTGCAATCACCTTACTAGCTTCGGTATTCTGCTAGTGAGTTACAGCAGAAAGAATTTACATCACCTGACAATATGATATTTCGATTCTTTGGGATATTAAAATTGTTTGGTTAAATCTTGCCTTACAGGACATTTCTAAGACTGAAATCCCTGCAGATCATCTCAACATCCTGACGTACATTACATACATCGGCTGTGGAATCTCGGCTGTTTTCCTGTCTGTCACTCTGCTCACTTATCTGGCCTTTGAGTAAGGATGAATTTAGGATCAAGTTCATTTAGCATAATTTCACACTTTTTCTCACGCAGATATAAATAGGTATTTTTATACACTACCATTTAAAAGGCTGCATGGGGTCAGTATTTTTATTTTTTTGGAAAGCTTTTATTTGATCAGAAATACAGTAAAAGCCATAATATTGTGAAATATAGTATTATTAGAATCAGCTCTTTCGGCAGTTTTTCAGAAATTCTAATATTATGATATTTTTAGAATATCTAATATGCTGATTTTGGTGCTCCAGAAACATTTCTTATTATTATCAATGTTGAAAACAGTTGATCCGATTAATATTTTTTGGAAACTGTGATACTTTCCCCCCCACTATTCTTTGATGAAAAGACAGTTCAAAAGAAAATATGTATTTGAAAGAAGTCTTTCAAAAGAACAACATGTAAAAGTCTTTACTTTCACTTTTGATCAATTTAATGCATTTAATTGCAATTTAATTTGACTCCAAACTTTTGAATGGTGGTTTATGCATAAAATATTTATTTTAAATGTCTCTACAGTAAACTGCGCAAAGACATCCCGTCTAAGATCCTTATTCAGCTGTGTTTGGCCTTGCTGCTGCTAAACCTGGTGTTCCTATTAGACGCCTGGCTGGCTCTGTACCCAGATGCCATGGGTCTTTGCATCTCCACTGCTTTTTTCCTGCATTATTTCCTCCTGGCATCCTTTACATGGATGGCACTGGAGGCCGTCCACATGTATATGGCCCTCATCAAGGTGTTCAACACCTACATCTCCCGCTTTATGGTCAAGATCGGACTTGCTGGATGGGGTACGTGACTGATTTGTTACTTACATTTTACCTGCACGAGTTCATGTTTTATCGTTTGAAGGCTGCTTTTTTTAAACAGTTTAGTCTGTCAGAGAGCAGATGAGCTCATAATGTTTTGTTTCTTTAAAGGCATTCCTCTCGTCGTAGTCATAATTGTCATAGCTATTAACAAAGACCACTATGGCCTTGTGACATACGGGAGGTATGCAAATGGGGTGACTGATGATTTGTGAGTAATAATCCCAATTCTTCTCAGCACAATATTTATAAAAAATATATTCTATATAAATTATATAAAATTATTTGTAATATTTTAATGTAAAATTAAACTGAATATGAATGAGGAAACATTACAGCTTTATTGAATGCCCTTATTGTATTTTTCTCTCTACAGCTGCTGGATAAAAAACGACATTGTCTTCTATGTTGCTGTGGTGGCGTACTTCTGTCTTGTCTTCCTGCTGAACTTTACCATGTTTATCGTGGTGATGATCCAGCTGTGTCGCATTAAGCAGCAGAACCCTCACAATGTGCAGAATCGCAGCGGCTGGCAGGAGATGCGCAGTGTGGGTGGACTCACCATGCTTCTGGGCCTCACCTGGGGCTTCGCTTTCTTTGCCTGGGGTCCTGTTAACCTTCCCTTCATGTACCTGTTTGCTATTTTTAACACTTTACAAGGTGGGTCCCAATTTGCACAGATGCTCTACCATTCTTGAAATGCTAAATTTACCATATTTACTTTCTTAAAAAATTTCTCTGGTATTACTATGCACTATTTATCATGGCAAGTTATTATAAAGAAAAGTAAAAAGTGTTCCAGGTTCCTTGGAAAAAAGATTTGACAAATTATATTATTTAGGAATGTCAAAGATAACAATTATTGTGAAACCACAATACAAATGTATCTGAACTGCACTGGACATTTCTGTCTTTAGGTTTATACATCTAACATTAAAGGTGGGCATAAAAAAGATACACCTATTACAAATTCAATATTTTCCAGATAATATTTTCATTTAATTTCATTAATTATTAATTTATTTAATTCATTTTAATGAATGAATTAAATTAATTGAAAATTTTTAATTAGTAAATTTTATTTATTTGACTTTGGTACAGTAAACATATAAAAGCCAGTTATTTAATTCCACATAATATCACATGATTTCTGACATAGTATAAAGTGTATATATATATAAAGTGTATATATATATATATATACAGTGGGTACGGAAAGTATTCAGACCCCCTTACATTTTTCACTCTTTGTTATATTGCAGCTATTTGCTAAAATCATTCAAGTTCATTTTTTCCCTCATTAATGTACACACAGCACCCCATATTGTCTGAAAAACACAGAATTGTTGACATTTTTGCAGATTTATTAAAAAAGAAAAACTGAAATATCACATGGTCCTAAGTATTCAGACCCTTTGCTGTGACACTCATATATTTAACTCAGGTGCTGTCCATTTCTTCTGATCATCCTTGAGATGGTTCTACACCTTCATTTGAGTCAAGCTGTGTTTGATTATACTGATTGGACTTGATTAGCAAAGCCACACACCTGTCTATATAAGACATTACCGCTCACAGTGCATGTCAGAGCAAATGAGAATCATAAGGTCAAAGGAACCGTGTGTGCATGTATGTGTGTAGTATGGTCTAAAACTGTATTTCACTGCTATTTTAAATTTACATAAAGTATTGTGTGTTGTATATACAACTGAAATATTACTTCAAATGAAGCACTTTATTTAATGCAATTAAATAATGAAGCTACCACGACAATGCAAAACCTTTTTTTAACCACAACCAACAAAAAATATTTGATGGTTTAGGTTGCATAATTTTCTGTGAGTAGTTGGGTAATTGTGCAATTGGAGCAAATTGGATAGTGTATAAAATGAAATGATGTGCTTATATGGTTCAATGATTTGATTATTTTATATATCTGTATGAGTCTAGAACAAGGATGGGCAACTTTGATAGTGACGAGGGCCAGCATTTTTTCTCCTTTATACCAAGGGGCCAGATTACTAATCCACGTCCACACACCTTTTACACCGTCTTACTCAATTTCCTTTTTATTGAAGCAAATGAAAATATAACTAATGTCATTTGTTTTTAAAGATTTTATTAAGTATAAAACGTTGTTGTCAGTGGACGGAAATATTACCCCGACAAGCCAAATTTCAATTGCATTGTCTGTAAATTAAATTTGCAACAAACAAATATACAGAGGTCCTTTTTTTATTTGTAGCCTACAGAACATTCTCAAAACAACCTAAAAGGACAGTTAAAAAGGGCTTAATTAAAAAAAAAAAGTTATTCCAAATGGTACCATAAAATAACCTGGTATCTGCAGGATTTTTAAAATCAAATTGAAGACCTTTAAATACCTTTTTAAGATCTGCACTTCACATTT